TTCTACGTCAGAAATTCTATGAAACCGTGAACGACGAAGTTAGTTTATGCAGAAGTCCGAGTAGAATCTAAACTATTAACCAACGGAATGTCCAACATTCTACGCGGTAGAATCTAGGTTTAAACTGACGATTAAGCTTGGCCCGGGGCGGGCGAAGTTTCGTTCGGATGCTAAATCAGTGGGCTCGGTTGGCACGAAAACACCGGTTCGCCAGCCACGCGATTCGTGTTTCGAATCAGTTTTCGCGGTATAATCGAACCGATGGCGCGGTCGCTTTTAAATAAGATAAAACTCGAGGGACCCGAACGACTTCGAAGTAGAGTTTCTTTCTCGGTTTCCACTGGCCATTGACTCACCGGTTCAGAATGCGACTGCGAGACCCATGTAGAGACCGTCTCGCCCGCAAAAGGATCAAACCAATGGGAATCGAGCGGATCCAGCATAAATTCTGATCTTCGATACCTCGAGAATAAAGGAGAATCGTACTGCCCCTGGTAAAAAGGGTTGCTTCATATAAAAAGTTTCACCACTTTATTTTATCAAAAATTTCAACGTTATCATCGTGTCTGGACAGAATTCGAAATTGCCAGTTTTCACCCCGGGTCCGACTCGCTTCTCCCGAACCACAGGTACATACCACCGCATTCTAGCCATCGAAACTTCGTAGCATTCGTTTACCTCTCACTTTATTACCCGTAATTGATCAGGGACTCTCGGCCAAGGGTAGTAATCGATCGGTCGTTAAAAGCCGGTCACGTAGCCGATATCAGCCGAGTAATTGTTGATTATGCGACCGTTTGCGTCGCTATATACGCGCGGATACGCGTAATAAATAATTTAGACGTCGGTCGTGTGATCTCTGGTCTCTTTTCACGTGCCGGGCACCCATTCGGAATTACATATGCACACCTGCGCGCACTCCTACTGCGCGTGGAAACGATGTTAAAACGTACACCTTACGCGACGTCCCTCCCTGCGTCGAGTACCGTCGCCACCGGATCCACCGTCCCGTGTAAACGGCCCTAAGCCTCTTACGTCAGGTTTCCGCGAGTGGTTACGGCTGATAATTACCAATTAGTGGGGTGCCAATTAAAACGTGAAGCTTTCTCTCTCTCCGATCGAGATTTACTCTCCGCGCGCATAATAATTCTACCCGCGACTTCCCTCCGCTGTTTGCTCCCGGTATCTCGCCGCCGGGTTTCTTTGTTCGACGATTCGAAGGAATTTACTTTCGGTTAGTCATCCGCGAGTCGAGAACTCGAGGAACAAGACAAATAGCGGGACGATAGGATTCGAATTTGAATTGAAACTACTCGGAGGGGGACGAATCGATCGTAAAACAAGAACGATTTGTTAAGTTTACTCGGCAGAACGGCCGATCGGGTGTCGGATGGAATAACGTCGACTAATGAAATCTCAAATATTAGATGGCATCGTATCTCGTGTTTTGCAAAACTAAACTCGCCTCCTCCCGTTCCTCTCCCACGTCCTCTTTTCTCGCCGTGATACGATAAAGGCGATTCTGCGAAATCGGAGCCGCATAACGCTCCAATTCAGATACAACGGACAAGCTACTGTTTTCAACGGTGTAAAGTTCGATAGTCTTCTCTCCTTGGCCAATTAACTGCTTTTTACTCATCCCGTATTCCTTCTCTATTTTTACCCAGCCAATCATATTAAATAATTAATTATTCTCTTTGTTGAAAGATATTTGATACGAGTCTTCTAATTGATAGAACTTATTGAATTAATATCAGCAAATTACAATTAATTTTTTTCAAAGAGCCTGTTTACCTATTGAACCGTGGCGATTGTAATTGTTGTACTTTCCCCGGCGGCGGAGGAACGACAGTTTTTTACGGAGTGAAAAAATGTGGGAACGGCCAAGGCGATTCCCGTATTTTCTTTTCCTGAATTTATGTGTTTCACGGAGAGTCTCGTGTAGGACGGGCTACCGATGGTTTCCCATGGCGAAGGGTACGGCCAGCCATAAAGGAAATACCCGTAGATGGAATAGGCATGTTCTGACACAGGACGACTTCCGGTTGTGCCATTTCGAACGGCCGCGACGAATAGAAATCGAGACGCCCTCTCCTCTTTGTTTCCTCCGTGCAAAATAACCGCTTCTAACCGTTTCGCACAGGCCAAGTCTCCGGTCGATTTATCATTCTTGTATATCAAAAATTTAAGTATGCAGAAATGCACACGAGATCCGACGTACAAAAGTATTTGAAGGATCTTCCATTTTCGTTTTTAAAAGGTTTATTTTGCTGCCTATAACATTTGCAATTCGAGCTTATGGTTCATCATCGATAAGCACGTAATTAAACCGAAGGGAAATCTGTTGGGGTGAATTTTTTCCAAACCAGTAGTATAGGCCCGCGTGAACGGCGACAGTTTCGCGTAAGGGTGCGTGTCGGAAATTATCCGACATCCATCTACGACACGCCGGTCATTAGGCCTTAAAGACCGTTGCATACAGCCTTTTTACAAATCGCCTCCAGCCATTAATCAGTTATGCGAACGGTCGTTTCGTTGATAAGCCTCGTCGATTCTCCGCGCGTGGCTCGAAGAATAATACAGCCGAGGCTCAAGCGAACACGTCTGAGCTTCGTATTAAAATATAATAGGGAATCAGCTTCGTTCTTCGTGTAATAGCAAATTTTGCATACGCATTTTTACGACTCGCAAAGTTCACCAGATGTCTTCCATTAAAATTTAATTAAACCGATAAACAGATACGTTATCTCTGTTATCTATTTAGTCAGAATTAAGTGTGAACTGTATAGAAGAAAAGAACTTGTTGCTTCGATTGGGGAATCGATCGAAATCTGAAGGGGCTATAAACAATCGATGAGGGGGAGATTTATCGCGCTAATCGTATGCACGTAGGGAACATGGGACCGCGTTCCGATGCAGGTAGGAGAATTCTCACGGGGTGAAGACACCTGGTTTCGTCTGTTAGAAATAAACGTGGAACGATTAATAAGGGTATAATCGAGGGTCCATTAGGAATAGTCAACGGTTTGATATTTATTTCCGCCCACGTGTAGTCGACCGAGGAAAACGTCCCACGACTCGTCGTCTTCTCCGTAAATAAATGAGAATTGTTATAAATTTTAACCGGCAATCGAATTGACGGAGAGACGTAGTAGACTCCTAAGACGAAACAAATGGATAGAAGCGTGAGCCGGGCATCACGTGCACAATTTTCCGGAGACGTCACGTAACGCGACCCTTCTACTGTCCTCTATTTCAATCCTTCGGAAGCTAATTTCCCTGACAGAGACGTTTCCATTCGTTTTCCCTCCTTTTCCCGTTCGCGGCGGCGCCCACCGAGAAGAGGAACTAAATCAATGTAGGACATTTATATTGGCTGGAAATCGCTGACTCTCGGTCAACCCCTGGCAGACGGACACCCACCGCCGGGCATATTAAGATTTCTGATCCGGCCGCCGGACATTTTTATTATTGCGTGTCCACCCGACCACCGGCTGAGGAATAAAACGTGAATTATTGTACACGCGGCATCTCCTCGGTCTCGTCTCGTCGAGAGACGTGCCGTATAAAAACGAAAAATCGAATTCCCTAACGAACATCGAAGAGGGGAAGCTCAGTTCAATGGTCGTGTCGTTGTGAAATTGTTGGATTAAAAAACAGGGTAAAGCAGCAAAAGGAACCGATGTCAAAGCGATTCATTTAAATTAATATAGGTCCGGAGGCCGGGAACGGTTTATCAACCGATTAGCGGCGCGCGACTTTTTTTCCTCCCGTCCCGCCCGGGTGGGTGTTCGTTATTTGTACGGTCTCGTTATCGACTGCTGCCACCGATAAATCCGACACTTTTATCGCGCACAATTATACGTCCCCCGTTTCCTCCCACCTACCCTGGAACAAGCGATACCGAGCGAAGACCTTTTGTCGTTCGCTTCTTGCTTTCTAATTCTCATACTACTTTTCAAAAATATCCAAATCTTCGTCTTCGTTCTTACGATTCTCATCGCAACGAGTCTAACGAGCGTCTCTGTCTTCTTGTGCGCGGTGTAACGTTCGCGCGAGGGTGCTCACCCCTGTCGAAATTCTCTTAATGGATCGCTTCTACTCACGATAACTTGCGTTATCAAAAAGATCTTCTACGAGCCTAGGTGCTCTGCTATTGGTTCACATCCTCACCCCACTACACCCGGTAGAATCGGCGCGTCGACTCGCACCCAGCCCGCAGTCATTGTCAGTCTCGTGTCACCCTTCGCGCGCTCACCTTCCTTCTTTACTTTCCGTATAGTTCTTCGAGGGTGGTTAAAAATTAAACCAAGTGCTCTTTCGAAACGAGCGAGGGTGAAACTCAGTGAAGTTTTCCTTCTCCCCGTCGGTGAAGACGTTCGATTCCGGTAGTCCTCGCGTTAACCAAAAACTTGGCCTTTCGGGTCGCACTTTTGCTCGTTCAACCAGGCCAGTTTCGTGGGGGCGAGGGTATCTGGGAGAGAGAGAGAGAGGGGTTGGAAAAGTTTTCGGGGGTGGGAGCTCGTCGGATAAGGGAAGCGGTGTGGAATATTTTAACATACATCACGGTGAAATTGGGACGAGGGTATGCCGCCGCGGTTCTCCGCTCTCGCGTCACTTTCCAACCCCCTCATCGCGCCGGTGGATACCCGGCGCCGAGCTCTCTAGCGGTCATGTTGTCCCACCGAGCGATCTGACTACCCCGTCCCTTACGACAATATGTTTGTCTGCCCTGCTGACTATTTGACCTATAGAATGGTAAGAATCCCAACGACATCCTCGAGTTCTTTCGCGTGGAAAACGATCCCTTCCCTAATTGTGTCGGATCGTTTGACGGTGTCTATAAGAATGCCTGAAGTAACATTTTATTTACTGATCCTCTTGAAACGTCTTGAGAGAATGAGTCTCATCGAACATCAAAATTCATATGAGCTTCCAATGAAATCAAGGAAGTATCTTATGTATGTTTTATATTTTATGTATGTGTTTTTGTGTTGCAGTATGGCTCGGATGAATTCGGGCAAGACTCCCCTAGATACACCTCGCCTAAAGCTGCGGCACTTTACGCGGACTCCTATTATATCGGTGAGTAAAGACTTGACTTATTGACTTTTTAATTGTGCTCTTAAGTCTTAAGAGAATCTTTGTGATCACTGTTTCGAACTCGGTGTTGTTTTTTTATTACGATTAAAAAATGAAAACTGAACTGATTGCTGGTCGATGAGGTTCTTTGAAACATGCTAATGAGATTCTTATCAAAAGCTATTGAGAGACAATGGTAAGGAATGTCGAGACAGAAATGGTTGGTAGCAAAAAAGGAAAGGGCTCTCCGCGGTAACATGGCGTTCTCTTAACTGGCATCGATCGCGAGTCGAAAATCTAGGCCACTCATTATACCGCGACGCAACGCTAAAAGTTAACCAGTTCCGCTCGGATCGATCGATCCAGCTTTGTCGATCGCCCAGTCGTCTACGTCTATACGTATTATCTGCTCGGGAATCGCGGAACGATTCGAACGAACGATAAAAGGGACTTTACGATCGCAGTAATATTCAACTGTTTAACGCTCGCTCGTAAAATGCGCCTGGCTGTCGCGCATAAAAACAATAACAATCTCTCGGTTATTTGTTCCTAGTCGATCGCGTTGAAATTCCCGCGGGGTGGGGAAAAAAGGACCGAGGGAGGAGAGGAAAAAAATAAACTTTCTATCGGGCTCTCCTACTTTACGTCGATATAATTTAATCGCGTTACGAAACGCGATGCTATTTCGCGAACTGTCTCCCTCCCTCTCTGCACGTTCGCGACGCGTTATATTTGCAACCCGTGCGTCGATGCGTTCTGTTTGCTCTCGCGCCCGGGGCGTGTTTTCGAAACGGAAAATTTACAGGCATATCTACCATCGCGAGATCAACGAAAGAGTAAACCTTCCTTGGGAGGTTGAACGCGATCCAATTCTTTTCCATTGACATTCTTACAATTAGATCGTGGTTTTTGTAGAATTGAATTGTCTTTCCACCGTGACGTCGATGTATGTTTAACGAAATGGACTGAAATGAATTTCTGGCTTGTTCTCAAACATACGCAATCGCGCCATAGGGAAAAAGAGAAAAGTTCCGGAGAATTACCGTGGTAAATCAATAAGATCAGTAAAGTTGCGGGGTAAAGTTGTTATTAAAGATCAGAAGAGGGTAAGGAGGGCTCGTTGCGGCGCGTTCTCGGCTCGTGACACCCGGTAAGCGAGCGGAATACCTTATAAATGGGGGACGGAGGGTGGGTTTGGTTCGAGTCGGAAAAAGTTTTATCAGACATCGAATGCCGGGTAGTTCGGAGAGGACGACCGAGTAGTTTGGCTTAGTTTCCAGTTCCATCGTCGATGGAAACCGCCGCGGAATTATATCAGGCAAAAGTATCAAGAAATACGTTCCTCGGTGGCTTATTGCTGTTGTTTTCAACTGAAATAATAACCGTCTCTCATACCGGGTGTCGGCAACTATCAGAATTCCAATCCAAAATATCTGTCGATTATTATTATTATTATTATTATTATTATTATTATTATTATTATTATTATTATTATTATTATTAAAGCGTTGTGTATCAAAATTTCATACGTCTCGCATCCCATCTATTCTTTCACTCGGACCAATTTCGGTTTTCTTTCTTCACATTGACTTTTATCGCGTACGTTTCCCTAAGCGTCGAGTCGAACCAGGGACGATGATCGCGTGTCTTTTAACCGGGAAAGCGCGCATTATTCTAGCACGTGCCGACGTTCTCTGGTCAGTGAACGCCACGTGCTGCTATTTGTTGCTCCGATGCGCACACCGAATGCAAACGGCTCGTTTACCGTTGGCGAATTTCGTGCGATATCGGGGTAGGATTAAATTTTTGTTGATTCGTCTTGTTTCAGATGGGAACGCCGCAGGTACGGGTGCCGGGGACCCATGGACGGGAGGGGGCGGTGGCGTTCAGCCCCCATACAGCGGATACGCACCACCTCACCTGGCCCAACCGGCTTACCCCATGCACCTACCCCACGACCCCATGGTAAGCAATTCTCCTGTTCTCTCTTTCTTTCTCTCGCTACCCTCATCGATCAATCACGCGGCGTGACTACTCGCTCGTTTCTTCGGACTCGACACCCCCGACTTCGCGACGAACACGGGAAACACCCCTGTTGAAAATGTTGTCGCGTCGGTGGCGTCCAGCTGTTGGATCAAATTCTAATCTCGATTTTCGAACATCTTTCACGATAAACTACGGATTCTATGCGTTTACCGTAAAATTGTATCCGTACGAAAGTGGACACGGATTTCAATCTGAAGTTTCATCGTTTCGAACGATCGCCGTGAGTGGTTCATTTTACAGAAAAACACGCGGTCTAGTGGCAAGAATTTCTTTGTTTGGCACATTAAGCTCTCAACGGTAGACAATAAAACAGTGCGCGCGATCTCGCTCTCTTTACCCTCACTGTTTCTCGCGGCGTTTTCATCGAGGAACGTGGGCGTTAAAAAAATTGCGATCTCCGCGTTAGGCGTTTCCTCTCTGTGGAACGCAATAAATTCCGAGAGCTCGAGGCAGTTTTTCCGACTGACAGTAAGAAGTTCGACTCGTTTGACACCGTCGGACTCGGCGACCAGTCGCTCGACTCTTTGACCGGGTCGGATCGCTCCGATCTCTCACCGCGTCGATCTTAGGCTCTCGCGAATCGATTTCCACCGATCTGTAAGGTGGTTGAGAGACACTGTTGACAGTGCTCGGTGTACTCGGAGCAACGTCAAATGACTCACTGGCTTCTATATATAGAACGACCCTCCCGCTACTCGGTGTTTCTAGTCAAGTGCAGCCTTCGTTTGATTTACGCCGTTCATGGTTACCACGAAATCCTCCGGTTCCCAGCCCCGAATTCTCCACCGGGCTCCCCTCACCCTTTCGCAGCCAGTTAAATTGTACTCCGCCTACCGTCCATGAACGTTCGATTCCTCCTTGATCGTTAGAGAAAGAGAGTTCTTTCAATTACAATATCGACTTTGAATCGAAGTAACGCGGTGAAACCGTTCGCCTCTGGGAAAAAGGCGAGCGGAGGAGTAGTCGAAGGGGGAATAAAAGAGGCGCGTTACGCATAATGGAACGAGGTGAACGTTCGACGAACGACGTCGAGGCGGTCGAAAGGTTAAACATTTACGACCCTGCGGTTTAACGACCCCTTCCTTCCACGAAAGTCCGAAGAAACCCTTTCTCGAAACGCATCTCGGTTTCCAAATTCCCGTGGACGACAATTAACGACGGTCGTTTCATCGGGCGCGTGCAGCTCCCCTCTAATTTGTTGATAAATACTCTTCGTCGGTGTTCGGCCCGTTTAAAATTAGACGTTTTACGAGCCGAGCTTCAGTAGGTGCGAGCGAGGGATACACGGCCACTACTAAGAGTATCCGATATCAAAGCCGGTCTGGCCTCGGCTCCATTATGGATCAGCTTTTAAACTTCGATTCGGAAGGTCGTCGATAATTCTCATATTCGTCCACCGGACGTTTCTAAACGATTCCCCGTTTCATCTTCCTCTCTTCCATTCGTCAACTTGATAAATGATACGACAAGACGAACGAACGCTCTTATGCTCTGCGTATTCGCTGTGAAAAGGATTTCTCCAAGTACCGGTGAGATTCGATCATATTTTTCTAGGCTTACTCGGCGATGTCGCCGAACAGCGAACCAGCGGCACCGATTCTGGGCTCGGCGGTGACCAGCGCGGCCTCACTGCCACCGATGTCGACGTTCCGGGGTGGTAGCGGCGCGGTTGCGGCGAACACCGGGACCGGTGCACCATCCCCAGCATCGTTGCAATACAGTCACAGTCCCGGTGCGCCGACCACCGCGCCTTCGGTTCCCAACCCCGTTGCACCCGCGCCCGCACCCAGCCAGCAACCGACCACCGGGGACAACCTCGGCAAGACCCTCGCCTCTGTAGTAAGCACCAGAGTAAGTATCGCTTATCACGATTAGATGTTCGACATAGAATAAACACGAAACGAGTCTCCCATATTTTATCATCGCGTAAAACACCTGGAACTTCGACGTGTTTTATAATTAAGAATTCTCTCGTCGAATCGATTTTACGACGTTTCATGGAAAATACGAATGATGCATTTGCATGCAGATTTACCCCACGGACCAATCAGTATCGAGTTATAGCAGCAACCCCTCGACGCCGGTCAGTTCACCACCACCGTTAACGGGATCGGCGCCAGGATGGGCACCGGGTGCCGCACCGGTCTCGCCACACTTCACCCAGGATCCAAATCGTGGAACGATCCACATGGTATGCATCAAAGCTTCGTTATTTTTCTTACCGATACGCGGTCACTCCTCGCTGTGTACTCGTACCCGCAATTATACCCCTGGCAAAAGGATGTCGTCAGACGTAGTACGTAATAAAATTATAACGAAACGTCACGGTGTCTTTGTCTCACCTGATTTTTAGAAAACTTTTTGCCAGCGCGTATACGTACGTATTTCATCCGCGCCCTTTCGGCGAGATCAGTCGCGATCGTTTATTTAAATTTATTAGCGGACTAGATGCGTTCGGATCTCGTTGGAAGCCGCGGATGCACCTTCTAAAAACGCAGACACGCTTCATCACCGTTGCCACCGATGCGCTTTTACAAACAGAAATACAAGTCAAGGACGTTCTTAACAGATATATACACATATCGCGCCTCGTTCACTTTTCCTTACGATAGATTTTATCGTCTGCTTGTTCCCGAGTCACATCGAGATCGTCATCGACGAGTACGCGTATGAAATTGATCACCGATGATCTCGAGGTGACCCATACAATGAGAGTACCATTGTTACACGCTCTGACTTTTTTATTCCTGCTCGGGGGAGGATCGGAATGTCTTATCATCTCTGAGATCGAACAGGGGCAACGTGACTTTCCTGTTTTCTTGTCGTGCGACAATTTTGCTCGTGAAACTGCACTCGGGAAACTCGCACAGTCGGCATGGGGCACTCGCTGCTGTCTCTCTTCTAATCCTCCCCTGTTCAGTCATTCGAGCCGATGATCACGTTCGTTTTTACGTGTTCTTTTTTTAATTTTCTCTTTTTTTTTGTTCACCGTTTATCCTTTCTGTTTGTTGTGAACGTTGTGTTGACTTGGTTGTTCTCTTTTTTTTTTTGGTTTTGTTGTTGCGTTGGTGTTGTGTGTGAAGCCGGCGCCTGAACAGCAGAGGCTAGACGATGCCATCGGCTTTCTCCGCGACCACGCCGAGGTGAGGATTGCCGATTTTTAGTTCAATCTCTTTTTTTTAAATTACTACCGTTTGTTCTTGTTTCTGATCCTCTCTCAATCGAAACACCCAATCGCTCCGTGCATGGTTCACACACGATTATACGAATTTGAGAACGACGTCTACTTCTTTCTAACATCTTCCCGCAAATTAATTGAACAGTTTAATTAATTCTCACATTGCAATGAACGTAATTGAACGAATTCTTTCGATTGAAAATTGCAGTGCAAATTGATAGCATGCCTGATCCCTTTCGAGCGTTCAAACGAACCCCAGTCTCTCACTTCACGCTTTCTGTCAACTCAAATGTCCGTTTCGTCCTCGATACCAGCGTCAAACGTGGTCGAACACTTTGGACGCTGGCGTCGGAGACGTCTAAGAAGAAAAATCATCAAACAGCCGTGTAATCGAGTCGCATTTTGGATATTCTGTTGGTACAGGGTACGCGGATGGAGGAACGGCTGGACGATGCCATTAACGTGTTAAGGAATCACGCGGAGAGCCAACTGGGCCTTCACCTGGGTCCGGTTGGTCCACACGGGTCCCTATACTCCCACACGTCGCCGCCGCAACTGGATCACTTGGTGAGCCATTGATTCTTCGACGAACACTGTTAATTTGAACTTCTTAGGACAATCGTTGACTAAAACGTCTGTTTTATCGTTCCAGACGAGTCCTCACCCCGCGGTAGCGGTAACGCAACCTCAGGGATCTTACACCGGTCTCACACCCACGCCCGACACGGACGGATCTATTAAAATCGAAAGGTTACCCGTGACAAATGCCAGTAAGCATCAAACCATCTCGTTTCTTTATCGCTAGAACCATTCCAAGTACACTAATTCGTCTAAAGTCAAAGCAAACGTCGAATAAATCTATTTTTTAACGATCGGTACTCGGTGGTTCTAGCAGTGGTTGCAGTCGACGATTTCGTGAAACGGAGAATAAGTAAAAGTGTCAACGAGCCTTGACAGTAGTCGGTAACGGGCTATTCTATTCTCGTCGTCGCATCATCGAATAAATACTTTTTCCCATGAGCAACGAGAGAGGGAGGGGAAGAGTTCCCAGGTGTTCCACGGCAGAGTTAGAGCCCGATAAGGAAACGTTAGATAAATCACGCGAAGTAGCTAGCTACTATCCCGACGTCGTGCCTTTATTATTCTCGAAGACCTCTGTGTCTCCGATTGTGTGCGCGCGCGTGTCTCTTTGTCTCCGTTTCAGTCACTCGTTCGCTCTCGCCGCGAGTTGTTCTCTCTCCCTCTCTCCGGTCAGCTCTCGCGGCTAATGGAATGCATGAGTTTTCCACGGAAAGGGCCCTTCGCTAAAGGAACGGCTCTTTCCTCTCGGCCGCGACCATTTTTGGTCGATCGGAATTCAGACCAAGAATTGCCTCCTGTGATTCCCTTTCCCCTCCCGGTTTTCCAACAGGAAAAACTTTCCCCGAGGGACCGTCGATAGCTGGTTCAGTTTCGTTTCAACGATTCTCGAGTCCGGCGAGGAAAAAATTCCCAGTTTGCACACAATGACTGATTTATCACGACTTTCGTGCAGTAATAGTTAATGGATTCGCGTTTAAGGATACGTTCGTTGAATCAGTGTATCGTTTCCTGATACCTCGTAATTGGACGTTTTTCACGGTTCCGTGACTAAGTCCCGCGACCAAAGAGAATTCGAAGGTCGCCGCTGCTTCCATCCGCGTTTTTCCGTTGCGGTTCGTCGCCGACGAATCCTTAAACGAACTCGCGGTCTCCTTAAACTGTTTCATTCACTCCGTCTTGCGAATACCGGTCGACTCGCGACGTTAGCGATAACTGTGAAAGACTCATCGGAACGTTGAACGAACGGTATTAATAATGAACAGAATACGTCTCTTTAGAAAAGAGAAAGGATCCGCCGGACAGTAGCGGTGGCGAGACGAAACCCTCGAGCAGCGAACTGGCGGCTGCGGGCGTAATCGGCGCAGCCACGGTCAACTCGACATCTCAGGGAAAGGGAACGAAGAGATCCCGGAGATAGTAAGTATAATCTTGGATCTTCCGTAATACTTTCCTCGGATCGAGGCGCGGCATCGTGCGGTAGTGAAAATTCTACTAAAGTTCGATGTAACGATCATTTAAAAATCGTAACCGCAGTTTTGTCTCTCTTAACTAATCAATTGTATTCAAACAACCGTTGTTCGAGCGCTGACGAAGATTGCGACGATCCCAGCACCAAAGCGGTGCGCGAGAAGGAACGTCGCCAAGCCAACAACGTGCGTGAAAGGTCAGTGAACACACGCAGTAAGCACTAAAGAAAAATAAAGAGAACCCTTTTACGTCCTTTCCCTCAATACTACCCTACGTCTGCATGTCCTGTCGAGGAAGGAAAAGGGAAGACACGCAGTTCAAATGAAAAGCGTATATCGCATGCTCACGTTCCTTTTAAACACCGAGGCCCGTATTCTGGCGTGACAATTAAAATGTTTCTGGTTAAAAAATGATGCGAGAAAAGATCGCGACAGTGTTCTCGCGCTCACCTCCCAATCAGTTTCATTTTAATTCGGCTGCTTTAATTCGGTCCCCCCAAACACCCCAGGCATGCATACCCCTCTCTGTCTCTCTCTCTCTTTCTCTGTCTCTCTTTCTGTTTTTTTTTTTTTTTTTTTTATATAGTAAAGCACAATCGTTTCACTTGAAGTTTTGTTGTTGCATCGACCTCTTAGATATTTTTCGCGAGTTTCTCCTATGTATAATGAAGACTAAGTTTCTTTCAGAATCGACGTCGTTGTTCGAAGATATCGTCTCTTTAGTCCCCTGGTATTTTCGCACACACACACACACATATATGACTCTCCTTTAGTTCAAAGAAATCACCACTTGAATTGTAAATTGTTCTAGGTAACAGCACGAACACCTCAGCCCTTTCTATCTTTAAAATAGTTCGTTATCTGTGCAAAGAATACGGGCCTTCGATATTTTCATTGGAAACTCGGTTTCCAATTCCAATAACCACTGAAAATCGATCGTAACACATTTTAAGTACAGTAAAAATTGAGTGAACAGATCTGCTATTAAAATTGACCGATCGTTGTCCGTTCACTTGATTTTTCGACCAACCGGAGCTCTCTGCGTGTGTTCAAAGCGTATCGCGAATGAATAAACGAACGAAACGTCGATTTCGCTGGCGTGTGGAGTCGCGCTCTCGATCTGGGACGATGTGAAAAAATATTTTCGATCACGGTCAGGTGATTAATTGAGTATTGTTATTGCGCAACTGTTGTTCGAGCGCCGAAGACGAGGACGACGATCCCGACGTGAAGGCGCAAAGGGAGAAAGAGAGGCGGCAGGCGAACAATGCCAGGGAAAGGTAAGACCTGGAGGACGAATAAAAATTTCGGAACAACGATTTGGCCCGTATTCTCTGTACACGTGACGTGAAAGAAGCGATCGTGCTATTACATAGACTAAAATCTAATTTCCCTGAGCCGAGTCCGTTCGATCCTTCGATTGTACGAAAATAAACCCAAATGGAGAACGCCTGTTCCCAAATTCAATTGATTACACTATGAAGGATAGTAAATGATCAAAGGGTCAAAGGAAATATCCGGGGTATCGAAATGAATTCGTCTGACCAAAGATCGTTCTCGCAGGATACGTATCAGGGACATCAACGAGGCGTTGAAGGAACTCGGCAGAATGTGTATGTCGCATCTGAAGACGGACAAGCCTCAAACTAAGTTGGGCATCTTGAACATGGCCGTCGAGGTGATCATGACGCTGGAACAGCAAGTTAGAGGTGTGTTTTTTTGCGCTTTTACAATTCTCTATAGGATATCGGTAGAAAAGGCTAACGAAAAATAAACGTGGTTGTTATAGAACGAAACCTGAACCCGAAGGCCGCGTGTCTGAAGAGGAGAGAAGAGGAAAAGGCGGAAGATGGACCGAAACTGCCCGGTCATCTGGCAGCGCACATAGCTCACCCCCATCCTCATCCACACGCGCACTCTCAGCCACCTTTCTCCGCGATGCCTGTAAATACCCCTATTCGCAATTTAACGCTTAAGTATCCGCATTGATGCATGAAAGAGTCGAGTTCTTTGAATTCGTCGACGGGTGTTCGGCTGGAAATATCGGCTGACAGATCGGAGAGCACGCGCTGCACGAGCACGCCAAGAAACGGTGTCTGGTTTTGGTTTCAACGAACGCCGCCGCCACTTCAACACAATCCATCGCAGCCACAGTAGCAGCGGCTCAGCGGCGGCATGATCCTGTGTTAAAAGGGGGTAGATACGGCTTAAACTAGATATCCTCCCAAGTGTCGCAGGACTTGGACGTATGAGAGACACATAGAATGGATATTAAGCAGTGTGCACGTCTTCTGAACGTAATTATCACGTTCTATCACGGAGGCTTGGTTCGACCCAGTCGAAAGACACAGTTCGAAGGATACAGCGTGTCCATGTGGTGAAGCAACGCTGCGCGACGATATCCATAGTTTTCCTTTCAAAGACTCTGGGGAGAGAAGAAAAGAAAGAATGGAAGGTTGTATGTCGGTGCGAACCGTTCAAAGGGAGAGAGAAAATGAAAAAAAAAAACGAAGCGCGTGCTGTTAAGAGGCATCTACCCCTGTCCCACCCTCCCACTCCCCGAAGGCGGCTTGAAATTATTTTTATAAATAGCGAGAAGACAAAGGAGTATGGTTCCTCTCTTTCGAGATGTAAGAAGCGCGTGTAGTGCGATCGAGATTTTATTAAAGCGATCGGTTCCCCGGTAGAAGAGAACAGAAAGAAAACTACCCCGGCTCTTGTTCAAGTCCTTCCTTCATTCGCGCGTGTTCCACGCTCCAGAATTCTAGACGAACGAGGAGAGAGCGATCGACGGCCAACGACCGAGGACAATCGTCACTTCTAGAGCTGATCGAGTCATTTCGTTTGGAAAACGATTTCCTCGTTTACTTTTCTCGGCAAGACCGTTCCTAGAGCCTCGTGTAAATAATCGGAAGGCGGAACCGCGAGTCTTCTTTTCTTTACGATGGTCCTCGGTGAGTGGTAACGAAGAGAAAATTAGAAGAAAAAGATGAAAGTGTAAATAGAGGAGAGACGATCGTTTCAAAGTGTGATGAGAACACGTGACAAATTCGTTCTGGCTAATTTTCTTGTACTTACGCGTACGATAACGAGATCGGTAGAAAAGTTGAAGTCAACGGGCGACAACCAGAAAACCAGAGAACGAACAATTCGTTTCCCTGTGAGAGAAAGAGTTGAAAGAGGAGATACCAGGTATGTGAACGATATAATCCGCCTACCCATCGAACACGTAAAAAAAAAATGTTCAGACATATCTCACGCATAATTGTATATACAGCAGTGACGTACGCCTAATGAATTATCTTTATTACGATTATTATTATTATTATTATTATTATTAATACTTCTATTATTATCATCGTCATCGAACGTGGCGGTGATCATTATTATTGTCACCGATCATGATTTTATTATTATGATTAATTATTATTATTAATTATTATTATCCCTACCGATTTAATGACCGCGAAAGTAAAAGAAAAAAGGGGACATTTTTGTTTTTGAACAAAAATATAGCTCAACTCAATGTGTACCCAGTTGCCATGTATTTTAATTTATTTAGATTCATAAATAAATTTTATCATGATCAAGAACGAGATATGAGAACCACGAGGAAGGGAGCACAGCGGCAAAGAAATTAAATCGAAAAAAGTGAATATAAATTTCTCGCTCCGTCTCTTTCTGCTCTTCGCTCTTTTTCTTGTTTTTTCTTTTTTGTTTTCTTCGTTTTCGAATTTGTATCATATTCACGCGAACGCGATCGTACACGCGACGCGAGCCGGAGGACCCGGCGTACATATCACCGCGTGTCACGCAGCTATATTTTTCTTTAAAGGCATATCAAGCGAGAAGTTAACGAAAAAGATTCGTCTCGCTCCTTGTACCCTCGCGTTCCTCCCTGTCGCGCTGTTGTCCAAAGATCCGCTCAACGATTTTCCAGGTTTCCCACTGCTTCTCAGGAAGCAAAGAAGAATCGTTCGTTCTTCTGAAACAACGAACGATTCTTCTTTCCTGTCCCGTCGGCACTTTAAATTCGCGAGTAGGAAATGGCCATGAATATTTGCATACGTTTTATTAAATCAAAGAAGAACCGTCGTCGCCGTCGTAAATACATCGTCGCATAGTTGCACGGAGATCTTGTCCAGAGCCCGATCGGGAGAGATAACTCGCACAACCTCGCTTTAACTTTTAAATCAGAATTTCTCGGACGCGAACATTATCTCTGAACAAAGCGAAAGGGATGACAAGAAAAAGAAAAGGCGAAAATCGGAGACGCGTTTTAGGGGTATTAATTGGGAGATACGAAGAACTAGACACGCATGTGCGTAACAAGCAGAAATGCGATCACCGCAATTATATTCGCGAATGGTAATCATGTAAAATAATAACGACAATAAATAGCTCGTAAGCCCGTCTAAGCTAGGCACACACACACACAGACACACACACATACCTGTCGATAGGCTTAGATAGAGAAAAATTGAAAAGGCGATGAGACGAGAACATCGGTTCCAGTCGGAACTTCACGATCGTTAAAAATTGTCCCCTTGCGTTTTCACGTTTTTAGTTTATTTTCTATCTCCGTTTCTATACAAATCGTAAATATATCGTCGTAGATATACGGCGCGAGATCTTCGAGCGTTTCGTCTGCCTTTTCCCTTCATTGATATTTTATTGATTCGCGAGGATCGCGTTGGTCGTCCGAAATCGAGACCTCGTCCGCGAGTTTCAGTGTTCCCGTCGTTTGAACTCTGAAGCTCGCGGTGCTCAAAATCGAAAAAAGTGAATATAAATTTCTCGCTCCGTCTCTTTCTGCTCTTCGCTCTTTTTCTTGTTTTTTCTTTTTTGTTTTCTTCGTTTTCGAATTTGTATCATATTCACGCGAACGCGATCGTACACGCGACGCGAGCCGGAGGACCCGGCGTACATATCACCGCGTGTCACGCAGCTATATTTTTCTTTAAAGGCATATCAAGCGAGAAGTTAACGAAAAAGATTCGTCTCGCTCCTTGTACCCTCGCGTTCCTCCCTGTCGCGCTGTTGTCCAAAGATCCGCTCAACGATTTTCCAGGTTTCCCACTGCTTCTCAGGAAGCAAAGAAGAATCGTTCGTTCTTCTGAAACAACGAACGATTCTTCTTTCCTGTCCCGTCGGCACTTTAAATTCGCGAGTAGGAAATGGCCATGAATATTTGCATACGTTTTATTAAATCAAAGAAGAACCGTCGTCGCCGTCGTAAATACATCGTCGCATAGTTGCACGGAGATCTTGTCCAGAGCCCGATCGGGAGAGATAACTCGCACAACCTCGCTTTAACTTTTAAATCAGAATTTCTCGGACGCGAACATTATCTCTGAACAAAGCGAAAGGGATGACAAGAAAAAGAAAAGGCGAAAATCGGAGACGCGTTTTAGGGGTATTAATTGGGAGATACGAAGAACTAGACACGCATGTGCGTAACAAGCAGAAATGCGATCACCGCAATTATATTCGCGAATGGTAATCATGTAAAATAATAACGACAATAAATAGCTCGTAAGCCCGTCTAAGCTAGGCACACACACACACAGACACACACACATACCTGTCGATAGGCTTAGATAGAGAAAAATTGAAAAGGCGATGAGACGAGAACATCGGTTCCAGTCGGAACTTCACGATCGTTAAAAATTGTCCCCTTGCGTTTTCACGTTTTTAGTTTATTTTCTATCTCCGTTTCTATACAAATCGTAAATATATCGTCGTAGATATACGGCGCGAGATCTTCGAGCGTTTCGTCTGCCTTTTCCCTTCATTGATATTTTATTGATTCGCGAGGATCGCGTTGGTCGTCCGAAATCGAGACCTCGTCCGCGAGTTTCAGTGTTCCCGTCGTTTGAACTCTGAAGCTCGCGGTGCTCTTCGATCAACGCGATCCTTCCTCGATTGCGTTAAAAGGAAACAACACATTTCGTTTGGTTGTACAATAAAGAAATTCGCCTGAAGGACCGATTGATAGTTCGTCTTTTATTACGGGACAAGGTTCATCGATAAGTTGAAGTTACGCGGGTTGCCTTGAAATCGTAGACTGTGTCACCTTGTCGACACCGTTTTTACATAATGACTGGCAGGTTCCTGAACAATTTTATCTATAATACGGCTAGGGCGTAAAACGAAATGAGGATTAATACTGTGCGGATGAGGTAGACGATTCGGGATCAGTCCGAATCGCACAAGTGTGTATATTAGTTCTAACGATTATTATTGTATGATATGTAATTAAAGAAGGAGAGGTAGGTCTGGCTAGTTCGCGTGTAAAACCGGGCCTTAGGAGGATTCTGATCGAACTTTCCGGCGTGCATACGATTGTTAAAAAAAAAGAGGTCAGAGTCGCGAGTCTTAACATCAATGAAATACGAGCTGAATATAATTATACATATTAATGATGGAGGATGATGGAGAGCGAGAGTGTGCGCGCGTGTACGAGAGAAAAAACGAATGCGTGCGTCGAGAGCGTATCGTTTGAGAAAGAAAAAAAATGTATAATTATCACTAGTAATATTATCATTAATAATATAATAAATGTGCCATTTTTTCCATAATCATGGTCGTTGCCTGCGCGCGCTGCGGCTTCTCTCGTCTCCGTTTTTTTGTTTTTTTCGTTACGCGCGAGTATGCGTTCTTTTTTTTTCTTTCTCACTCGAGCTTCCGTTTGTACATTACACGCTCCCAGTATTATCCCAATAGATTGTCGGCATCATTTATGTATCTTGCTAGTTTTTATCGTTCACTTTTTTTCTCCGTGTCTGAGCGCGTCTCTAAGTTTTGTTAATCGACTTATTTGCATAGACAGCACGAGGAAGGCATATACATAGTGTAGATACGTTTATAGACGACTTACTCTTACAGATCTAGTTACACAGACGTAACGGCATCGCAATGGCACCGTAACGCAATAGGAACGTAATGGGAACGTAAGTCTCCGTAGATCGCAGGACGTAATTTTCAGTACCGTAGTCTTTAGGACAGTAGTAGGACGTAGGTAGTGGACCCTAAACAGCAGGCAGTCCTCGCCTGCCAATTCGGTGTCAAACGTGGACCCCTGAGCTGCCTGCTTTTACACGCTTTTTCCTATACCCTGTCCTAAAGACTACAGCACCGAAAATTACGTCCTGCAACCTACATTCCCATTGCGTTACAGTGCCGTTGCGGTGCCGTTACGTCTGTGTAGCTAGACCTTAAATCGTGAAATAGCTAATAGTGCGCGCGACGTTGTACTTCGATTTTTAACTATTCATCTTTTTCTTTTTTTTTTAGTCTATCGGCCGTTGAAAGGCTGTAGAAAAAAATGTCGACCCGAGGAAGTTTGTAATACAGATTTTCAACGTTTTCAGCAAATCCATGCGTATTTTTTCCATGAACAAAATTTTGGGAACGGGAGGGGGCTGGGTGAATGAAAGAGACGGCTTGTACCGAAAAAGTATCTTTAATTATGTTTCGAACCAAATACAAAGTAGAAATTTGTGTTTTTGTGTGAATTGAACAAAAATGTGTCGAAGTCGCGAGTCCCGCATGACATCAACGCTCAGAACGGAATTAGCATCTAATTACAATTGGTATTAACAACAAAATGGAAGATAGTCGCTCGTGTCATACTCTCATTCATTCTACCACATAGCAAACTCTCACTTGTTTCAACTTTGGCACAAAACTCTCCAAATTCGGTACATAGTCAATGCACTCAAACGGTGCACGAGGCTTCTCCTGACCCTGATCCATCGTCGAAGAATTCGTTCCCGGAACGATTTCGTTGAAAAATGTCATTTTGAAAGGCCGGGCAAGGATTTAAGCAATGGCGAGCCTCCTTTTCAACGTGCAATAAGTGATGAACCTATAGAACGCGCAATTGAGAATCAGCAGAACTATGTCGAGCCAATATCTACCGTCAATCATCGCCAGATCCGACAGAAGCGTCTCGGGCACGCTGTAGTGGCAATAATACTGCGAGCATTCGAGTTTCTCGCGACCGAAACCGTACAAAGCCGTGACGTAACCGTGTAAGCAGTACCGGAGATAGTCCACGTAACTCAAATAGTAAAGCGCGCGTGGCATGTGATTGTACAGAGCCAAAAATCCTGACAGGACTGAGAAGGTCGCGAGTAAAATCGCTCCTATGAACGTTCCATTCACAGGATCCGTCATGGTGCCGATCAGAAGGCCGAAACTGTCCGCGACCAACGCCAGCATGATAGATACCATCAGATACATCAGGAATCTGTTCGCGTCCATCGGTTGATTACTGATGAAGTAAGAAGTGACGCTGTAAATGAACGCGAACAACATCTGTATCGGGATACTGCATATCAGAGAGGCGATGTAGTACGTCCGCAGTTGATACCAATTGTTGAATCTCTCCTTCTTCAAGGTGGACATCTCCGTAGGAAACTTGAGTACCGCGGGCATCATACTGGTGTAACACAAGTAAACGCAGCTGAATAAGAAATAAGCGACGTTACTGATGGTCTTGTCGCCGTCCCTTCCCGCTTCCGAGAACAGAAGTCCCAGCAGTATTCCTACCAATAAATGGAGGAACATCTTCAAGTGGGTGGTGGTCCAATCTCTAAACTGTAAAACCATGCAACGGTTCATCAGTACAAAGAATCTGTCGATCTCCGACGGAGCTTGGATCAGCACCGTCGCTTTCGACTCATTGATCTTCGGTTCCTTTTTTGTGATCTGCGCCGCGTCCGATCTCCAACTGCTGTCGTGACAGATCACTTGTTTTTCCAATTGGTCGTTGAAGTCTCCGTACTCCTTGCTCACGACCTCTATCATGAAATCGGCAGGGTTGTGATACTTGGGGCACTGTAGGCCGACGCTGGCAAAATAGGCAACGGTGTTTTTCGTCGCTCCTTCGTACATGCATCTGCCCTCGGCTAAGAGGTAGACGTTGTCGAACGTCTCGTAGACGACGGCACTAGGCTGGTGAATCGTGCAAACGATCGTCCTACCGGCCTTCGCCAGGCTGTGCAACAATCTGATCAATTGACTGGACGACAACGCGTCCAGACCGGTCGTGGGCTCATCCAAGAACATGACCGGCGGATTGTCGACCAACTCTAACGCGATGCTAAGTCTCTTCTTCTGTCCACCGCTCAGTCTCTCGCATTTCGTTTGCTTTGTCTTGATCAAATCTAGGTTTTCCAATACGTCATCTATCAACATCTCCTTCGCTTTCGTGCTGAGGCTACTGCCTATCTTCAAGTTCACTGCTATCCACATGCTCTCCAACACGGTGAACAGAGGATAAAACTTGTCGTCTTGTTGTATGTAACAAGACTGCTTCCGGTACTCGTTCCACGTGTGTTTACCTTCGCATCCTATGTAGTCTATCTCTCCTTTCCAATTGTCCCTTTGGAATCCCGTCAGGATGTTGAGGAGAGTAGATTTCCCGGCGCCGGACGGTCCCATGATGGCCGTCAGCTCGCCGGTTTTGAAATTACCGCTGATTCCTTTGAGGATCTGCTTCAAGGGACCGCGGAAACCGATCCGTGCCTCATAGGTGACATTTTTGAACTCGATGTCGATAGAGTGAACCTTGGGCAGGGTCAGCAAGACCATACGTTGATACATCTCGACCCAGAGAACCCTCTGACCCACCGAGGAGGAAGTCTCGTCCGGTCTGTTCTATCTCCCAAACTGCACGTCACCCGACTCGTTCGTTTATCGACACTGGCTAATCGTAAATACTTTCCTGGTGAAATGATGAAACTAGGTCAAACTGTTGTTTCGAAAGGACTCATCGATACGCGCGAACTTTTGACCGCCTGCCTCGATAAACGCGTATTTCACTGGCTCTGCCCTTCTCTCTGAAAATTAAATTCGTCCGGTCTTTTCTCTGACCAGAGGATCACGTCTCGTTCCAAATGACACCCGTTCCACGTTCCTCAGCTGTTATCCATTTTTGATCTCCCGCTCCGCGTCGAATGAACAGTGTTAGACGGTTTCAGCTACGCACTGCAGATAATCTGCATCCAACTTTGCCCCGGACAATTTTTCCAGACGATCTTCTAACGTTCTTTGCTTGACCTTGCCTACTTCCCTCACTTGACTCTTTCGGTACGAAGATCGAAGACGCGTCGATAAGATATCTCCCACGCTTCCACAGATCCTTACACCTGTAAACAAAAGGTCGCAATTATAACTCGTCGTGATTTATCACAGCGAAATGTTTGTGACATAAGGTTCAGAAAACGAATGAACGCGTGAAATTCGCGGCTTACTTATAAACGTTAGTCCGCGGAGCCTGAGAAATTTTATCAGCGCGCGTTTAAAAATATCTGCTATTAATTTCACGCATATCGCAACATGCATTAACATCAATTTTTAATCTCTGCTGGTAAAGCACGTTAACATCGACGTAAGTACAATTTATTAATGTTCCCGCTTATCACTTATGGCTTTCGTTTCGTGACAGTTCTCATCAATCTCGTGACGAATTCGTTGAATCGTTATCGAGCGCGTTGTTATTTATACGCCATACGTTGTATCGCGTGTACAGCGCTTTGACAGCTGGATAATGCCCGGTGCAATTGTATAAAAGCCCCTGAAAGAGATGTTTCCATGCATTGAACACAAAAATTCATGTTCAACGATCAAAAAGAACTGCTTGACACCGTTTCGTTGTTAGACGATTCATCTAAGGCATGTTTATTTCTCTTCGACCAAGCACCCAACGAATGCCCTCAATTAGCATGCGACGGATGCTCGTATCGTAGATCTTATTAATAGTCTGTTAGCCGCGTTGCTTGCAAATTGCGTGTTACAAAAAAATTGCAGTTGTTCGGTCAGAGCTGAATGCGCCTCAATTAAATCGCGACAATTACAGTTCACAACGGTTAAAATTTATTACTCGCAGATACGAATATCCTTCGGCGTTTCCACTGTACTTATTTTCCAAGATGATGTTACTTTATTACAATTTCGCACGGTCCAACTATCGAACCAGTTCCCGATCGATGGTTTCGCAAAAAATGCTCGCTCGTTGCAATTATAACGCATTACGTCGCTAGTTATTTATTTTTCATTGGATCTGTATTTTTTTTTTCCATACTCGCTCGCATGTTTTACTCGAGTCATTGTTACCGGGAAAAATCGTACGCGTGTCGGTTTTCTTTTCGCCGCAAATTACATCCTACGTCCGTTTACGCAAGACTGACACAACCGCCTGATCAAAAATTAAGTTACATCAATTCTAAGGTCGCTGCGTTACGTAATCTTCGGTGTTCCTCTACTACTCTTGTGTGTTGTCTCCCACGTCGCCGAGCCAATGGTAGAGTCCCAATTGTAGAAAAATGATATCGATGAAACGTGCCGAAGAAGTAGAAAAATAGATGTTGTAACCGATCGATTTTGCAATCGCTGATGCAACGTCACCGGACGAAAAGTTAGCTACTCGAGATTTCATGGTTCAAGTGCGAAAAAACGACAGCACGTGCGGTCGACGCAAAGATACACGTTTATGAGCAAAAATTAGATGTATAGCTGGACTACGTATGCAGAATTAATGAGGCGAGAGAAAATGTGTGGACACATGTATAATTGTTTATGCATGTGCTAATCATTATTTTCTAAAACCGGCTTGTGGGTTCTTAAACGCTTACTCGAAGTTGAGCGACGATGATTAGTAACCAAAATTGCGACCGTAAAATCAATAGAATTAGATTCAGCCGTTTAGTCTTTGTTAATACATGCGTGACCTCTGATCCCGTGAATTTAATTATTCCGACCTCGGCGCGAGAACGACAGCAATACGTCTTAACGATATTATACGTCTCTCATTAATTCCTACCGTTTGCTATGTTGGTGGTGATAAAATTTCCATACATAGCGATCTCTGGCTATAAACAGGACTTTACAATTCGTATTTCAATTTAGCACATTTGATAAAAAAACATGAAACAGGAAGAAACCTTAACTGTTGCTAGCCTCGAACGGTTTTCTTACGCATACGATTTTCAACTAACAGTTTTATCAAATACGATATTTTTAAGGATGTATTGACTATACAGTCAATCCCAAAAGTTTACGTACCTTAGAAAAACGCATTTCCTATAATTAAAAATAAATTAGACGTCGGAAGAATAATGCTAATAATAAATAGCTACGTGCTAAAAAGTATAGAAGGAAATATCCAATTAAGTATTGACGCTGACGAAAAATTTTTTTCTTCAAAATTGCGAAAAATGCTTCANAAAAAAGGTCTCTTGCAATTTTTCCGTATGTCCAACGGTTTGGGAGTTATTGGCCAAAAACGAAAATTTCGAAGAAATTGAAGGGGTACCCCTTGGAAAAATCTCGGAAAAATCGAAAATTTTTTGTTGTTGTTTATTATTAGCATTGTTCTTCCGACGTCTGATTTATTTTAAAAAAATGCGTTTCTAAAGTGCATAAACTTTTGGGATTGACTTTATAGCCAATATATCCTTAGAACGAGAAAAGTTGCGCACATCTGCTAGTAGTGCATGGAACTATTGAAGAATACAGTGAATCACATATTTATTTATATGCACAAGGAAGTTTCTATGAATTTTTTTCTAACTTCAGTGTTTAACGAGTTAAGTATGATTAATTGGCATTTTATTGATACTGACAAAATCCGGTGTCTTTACCGGCGAAACAGCGAACATTTTCGTTTGGGAGTGATTGGCAAAAACGAAAATTTCGCAAAATCTGAAGGGGGGACCCCTTGACGAGGGAAATCTTGGAAAAATAGCAAATTTTTTTTCTCAAAATATTGAAGAATAGTTCAAGTAAAAATTGTACGACATGCTATTACCTACAAAAAAGGTCGTATACAACTTTTTTCTATCTCGTATACTTGAGGAGTAATCAGTTAATTACTTCGTCTATCGTCAAATACTTCTTAACGAGTAGAGTTAAAACTAAATTGCCCAGGACGTTTCTTGTATCTGACAACTACAGCTACGAACGTGATTCAAGTTCGCGTGTACATCTACTGATTCGGCTTTTCCAATTACATAATTCCTATTCGTAAAACTGATTCGATAGCAACAAATATCGTTAGATAACTCGTTTCTCTATCAGCAAGTCTTTTTCACTTAGGAAAAGATTAAGATGCACAGGTCATAGCCGATATTATTTGCTTTTATAATTCGATGTGTCAATATGCCACGTGACAATAATCAGGCTAATCTGTATAAGAGAATCGTTTATTATATATGTAACTTGCGCTCTTCCTACCTTCTGCGTCATGTCATCTTGCGAATAATCGGCAATTATATATCATTCGATCAAGCCGATCAAAAAATTCAGATAATTTTCATCGTTTCTTAGCATGTGACTTCGTTCAGTATGGAAATAATTAATTAATATATGCGAGGATAAGGTCGTGACGCGCGTTGACAATACATTCAGATTTCCTTGCGGATACCGCGATTGCTCACAACTGTTTCTCAAGACAACGGGAAATCTATTTGAAACATGCAAGGTAGATACAACATAATATTAAACACGTTATCTTGCTTATCGCGCCATGTGCTTCGGCCTCGTAACAATGCGTTTGCAGTTTCAATCGGACCTCGCAGTAATTTTCCTCGCTGCGTCTTAATCAATCGTCTCACGAATAATACCGCGATTTGCATTTAGGTATGACTTGAAAATAAAAAGCAAAGAAAAACTGGCAGGAACTGTTCTCTAAATACTGCAGACTAATGTTAGGGTCATGATAGAGGATGATAAGTAAATATTATTTCTTCCTGCATGAATTTTATCATAGCAGCTTGTTAAAATAGGTTATCAGCTTGTGTTATGAGTACGTTTTCTGTTGCGGTTGGAGTTTATTTCATTTAGCTAAATTATGTTTTCATGTCTCTATCTTTTATGATTAGGTGATTCTCAACAATTATTTACACTTGCAATTACCATATTCTTAGAGAACCGGTCGAAGCTGAGTCGATCAAATTCATGCAACTTACTTGTTTAATTAGACTTTAACTGAAATTGTAAAGAAATTGAGTCACGAGTCGGTCGACGCACATCGTAACGGAACCGAATCGCTAGCATTTATTTCTACTCTGAATAATCTATTATGCATGCACGGTGACTCCTCACGTTCTACTGTTAAATTTGGACACTGCGCGATCACTTACAAATTGCATTAGCGAAAATAATCGAGACCTGCCGTCACTTCGCGAACAGTTGACGAAACTGAATCACTTACGATGTCGGTTTATCGTCAGCACACTTGCGTACGTCGGCGTCGAATTCCCGTGTATCACCGAGAGAATGAAACTGGAGACTCGTGCGCGACACCGTGTGTACGTTCCGTCTCCCTTTCGAACCGGCCGGTTTTGCCAGGACGAGTGTACGGGAACTTTTGTCACGAGTGACTTTTAAAAGAGCACCCGGAATCGTACTGCGCCGCGCGCTTCGACTCTTCGGAGATATCGCGCGTACGTGAATGCGAATTGCTTGAAACCGATAAACGCCGACTACACGAGATGCGCCCTTCTACGCGCGCGATTCCCCGGTAGCCGTTTTGTACGGGAAACCTGTTCCCCGGCTCCGTATTCTGCTCGGCATTCCAACTCGCGCGGCTATTCTTTTTCCTTTCTTACCTCCGTTTTTTGTTCTCATTGACTCTCTGGAAAGTTGACACTGCAACGGATTACGTCGTTTCTAACTATAATTAGAAAAACGATTGTGTTCACTTGCAGTTGACCTTAGAAAAAACAATTTTAAGTCATTCGCTTTTTCCTCTGTTCAAAGTATTTTTACGCTCACTCATGTTCTTCAGGTTTGCACACGAGTTTGTAAAGGATTTTTAAATATTTTGTATCTTCTCAGAATCTTTTGTCACATCGAATGTGAACAGATTCGTTGAACCTAGGAGACGTCTCTATAAACGGAAGACCACTGGTCAGAATGCAACGAATAGAGGCGAGGCGAAGAGTTCAATGAAGCGCGTAGGTAGAGAAGTCCGAGAGGTAAAGGGTCAAGTGATGTAAATGTCGATTTCACCGTAGGCGGTCGCAACGTTGAAACGGCGAACTTTCTGGCATCTTCCAGCCGTCCTTCGCCTTCTTCTCGTAAGAATCTGACGCCTGGCGATCGTTCGTTCCGTCGACGCCTTCTATCTTCGAAACCGTTCTAACGTGTGTTAATGAAATCTAGCATACGTTGAATTCCAACGACGAGTCCGTGACGGAAAACTCGGTCACGTCTACGATCGGATGAGGCTGATTTGATTATTAATTAATTTATTAATTTATTTATTTGCTTATTTATTTATTTATTTATTTATTTATTTATTTATTCACGGTGTAGAGCGCTTTGATCTACAAGGATAATACAGAACAGTAGTTAATACATACAGCAGTACGTAAACGGCGTTAATACATATGTATATAAAGAGAGAGCATGAATAAGCCGCTAAGTAACTCGTTTGATGATTTGACAAACATAAAGTGCAAAATATGCGAATAACGATTGTTCGCGACAAACAAATTTATCTAAAAACGCAGATTACATCTTCTTTGGCCAAATGCCAGGCAAAGTTTAAAATTAATGTATGTATTTATTCCTATGTTCAACGATAACAAGCGAGGTTCAGTACTGAAAAATGCGTTCGTTTCAAAGGATTCTCAAAAAAAAATTGTCCTTCGGTTAATCTTGTTTCATTGATCATTCGCCTTGAATCTCTTCTGATCGTGGAACAACGAAGTCAAAGTTTAATCACCGTTAATTAATTCGTAAATATAAACGCTTAGATGATTCCAGTAATCCTCGTTTCGCTCCAATTTTACACCTAGGAAATAAGTTCCTGCATTACTTTCGCATGCTGTTCTAAAACCGGTTGCAGAACCTTCTCTCAAGGTCGTCCAGTGAGTGCTGCGACTAAAGGATGTGGACGACGTTTCTAGATTTTGTCGCGTCCAATCTTTTTTTCAGAGCTCGGGTTTAATCGTTGCCATGACTCGCGAATGATTCGCCCTCCGCGAGTGACCAGATTTACCATCGCCGATCGAGAAAAACGATCGGTAAGAACACGTCCATGTGCCTGCGACATTATTGCCGATGATTAACTTCTCGATCGATCTAATTGAGTACACTTTGTTTATCATCGAATGCGAAGTAGCTTTAATTTACTACTTTGTAATTATTCCGACCACCTCATAAATTAGATGTTATGTTTTGCAGTCTACGGAAATTTAAATAATCGTTCTAATTATTAAAGCTATTTGAAATTCAGAGATTTTAATGAAGCGTCTGAGAAAATGGAATGTTATCTCCGTAAATGCTGATCAAGTTGAACAAAGAAGAAGTCAGACGAGTTCTCTTCGTGGCCGTGAACTCGTCCGTGATTCGCGACATTCAGGAACGGTCACTATGTAATTCTTCATGGTTGGATGGCAAGTGCAAGTGCACGATCGAGTTTCGAACGATTTAAAATTGTTCTAAGAAACATGAAACGGTATTGAGCAAGGAGTTCAAGCATCTTACGTAAACGAGTAAAAATTGCTATCTGCGATTGACAGATTTGGACGCGTCCTCCTAATGAATATTAATAGTCAGAATATCACAGGCTTCTCGTAATGATCTGGCGTTTAACTCGTTGCACGCAGCATGCAATTTTTTCGTAATACCTGACATTTAGAAAATAATAAATTATACCGAATGTTATTTATCGACGATGTTCATCATAACTCGCGTATCAGTACTTATCAAATAATCTTTCATGAATAGCCTTCGACAAAATTAAATGACATGCACTTTTACGGTATATTTACTAGAAATCACAAATATTAACCGCTATGATCGATTTTCTCATGTATCTATCCCGAGTTCGATCGCGTATCAGTGGTTCGCGTTATCAGTAGTGGTTTGACTTGGGAACTCGCGGCTTCTCGTCGTAGAGGGCAGACCGGGATCCTCCGCTGTTTTACGCGATCGATGTTTCAGTTTGCGTGACACGAAAACCCCTCGAGCGTTGGGTCTACGTCCCCTGCTATCTTCCGTGGCATGCACCGGCACCCACCACCCTCGGACCGGTCGCACACGTACGAGACGCGGCCGCGAGTGTGTGCAAGCCGGTGCACCCTCGGCAGAGGCGGATGCAGCGAAGCAGCAGCCCCCGCCGTCCTCGTTTCACCCCCGTAGTGTGGCGCACACCCCGAGAGTGGGGGTGCCGGATCGCTGGCACCCCTTGTGACGTCAGAGTCGATCGTCAGGCGCAAAGCTTGGGGATTGCCCGACATACCACGTCAGAATGACGAGCCGATAAACTGGCCATCAGGGTTCTCTGCGGCGGGCGGGCCAACGGTCTTGGGGTAAACGTTCTACTCTGAATAATTCCGTCCGCGACTCTTCCCGTTCGATTCACTGTAAAACGAGCGTAGAGCGATCCGCGAGTACCGCGAAACTCGGGAGGTAAACAGTCTCGACCGGTCGAGGGTGGTAGTGGTGCAGCAGAAGTGAGAAACGCGAGGCTCGTGAAGCGAGACGCGGGATGATCGTGGACGCGGTTTCGTGACAGTTGCATTTGGATTCTGGTTCGCAGGTGGCCGCCGTCGGTTTGGCCAACGATGGCGCATCCGACGGGCACGGCAGTGGACGGGATCGGCGTCGGCGTCGGCGAGAGCGACGGCACGACGGGAGGCACCGGTGGCAGGCCTAGGAATCCGTTGATATGCGGCGTATGCCAAGACTATTTCAACGAGCCCTGTCTGTTGTCCTGCTTTCACACAATCTGTGCCCGCTGCATCCGCGGCCCTCATCTCGAGGGAAAGGTCACCTGTCCTATCTGCGGGTAGATAACAACGACTGTGTATTGCATGGCGACCTTAGGGTGGGTGACGATCCCAGGTCTGGGTTTAGGTTCGGCTATTCCGCATGCTGTCTCATTCTCCTCGTTCTCTCTGCCTGCATGCGCGTGTCTACTTTCATTTCGCCCGATCGCGTTCGCGTTTAGTTCTGAGTAACGCGTGCACGATCGAAGCTCATACCTCTTTCACTCCGGCTCGAGACCTTCCGCTCTTTCGTGGGGGGGACGTAAAATCTGTTATTGTCGCACAGACAACAGACCCAGCTGAAGGACGGAGCGCAACTACCACCGGCGGATCAGCTGATGCGTCAGCTAGTCGAGTTGGCAAATTGCGAGAATCCACCATGTGCCAACTGTGACAAACGCGACAAGTCCACTATGTTCTTTTGTACGACGTGCGGTAGGTAACAGATTCTTAGAGATCGTCGCGTTCGACGTACTCAAATACGAAATCTATGAAATCACAGGACAAGCGTTGTGCACGCACTGCAGGGAAAACACCCACCGCGCGAAGATGTTCTCTACGCACGAGGTGGTGCACATGAGCAAGTGCGCGAAAGACACCCAGCGTCGCTGTTCGACCCACGGCGAGCAGTACATAATGTTCAGCCAAAGTGCCAAATGCATGCTCTGCGCGACCTGTTTCCGCGACACGCCCGCGGACGCTCGAATCCACTGCGTGGACATCGAGACCGCCTGGCAGCAGGCGTCCAAAAAGATGGAGCGAGCGGTGAACTCGATCTACGATCTACAAGCGGGCGTGCAAGACGGAGTCCTGGCGTTGAAGGCTCAGTTGGACGAGCTCCGCCACAGCCTCGACTGCGAGAAAAGGGCCCTGAACTCCTTCTGCCAGGGCATGCAAGAGGCGATGACGAAGACCCACGGAAGCGTGTTGACGGAATTACAGAGACAGTTCGAGACCAAGGAGAGGATGGTGCGTACGCAGTTACTGTCGCTGGGCAACGCGTTACCAGTGCTGCAGATGCATCTGATGCTGTGCACCGCGTTCACCAGCGGTGCCACCAAGTACCAGTTCCTGGAGCTGGCGCATCCGATGCTGGAACGATTGAGCAGAGTCGCCCAGCTGAGCCATCCGTCGAGGCCTCCCTTGCTCACCGCACATCTGAAAGTGAATTACAAGAGCGAGTTCGCCAGGGCGTTGCAACCGTACGTGGGCCAGCCACAGACGCCGAAGGAGTCGCTGTACGATCAGACGCACACTATGCCGCCGCAGGATCTACCGGGGATGCAGGTACTTAGAGTCTCGTCAGACGGTGACGAGACGAAAACGAAAAAGACTTGATTTCATTTATGATTTTTGTACGTTCATATTACAAGTTTCTTTTTCATTGCATTTCTCGCGCACAATTCTGTGTAAGTACTTTTGTTTACAGGATTTTATCGATATATATGATGTGGCTTGTACGATACATATACTATACACATGTATATGTATGGTTGATCTTGTGTGGTGGTAGTCGATTAGAAATTAGAGATTACGTACGGTCAATCGATCTAGCGAATTGACTCGATACCGAACGACGAACGTGCGAAGCGTTTCGTTTCACTGTTAGTCTGTTTAGCCATATTAATTGTGGTAGTCAGTGATCGGTAGACTGCGGATTGTATTAACAATCAAATTTCCAATCGCCGTTGGCGTTCTACGGCGTTCACATTTTACACGTTCGACCTGCCTATAAATCCGCCGTCTAGTAATCAGATTTATTCGGAACCGTTTGTGTTTTCGCATCGCGGGTGTATCGAGCTAGCTGGATCTTAAACCCTCGACCCGATCCGAAGTTTCTCAGTTCTTAACGAGCCGTACACCCACGATGGTTCGGGGAGTAAAAACTCACCGCGTTCACGTTTGTCGTTTGTTTCTCGAACAGAGCAGCAAGTCTGCTCAGAGGGCCCCGAGCAAGAGCGACGGGGGACCGTTCTCTAGCCACTGCCGTACGTTCGACGTGCAGCTCAAGGAATTGAATCAACAGTTGATCACCGTGAAGGAGCGCGTAGGGGAATTGCACCGCGACGTGGCTATGCTCCGGAGAGCGAACACGCCGCCGTTGGGCTCGCGGTACGAACACGTGGCCAGGGACTGCAGGATGTTGGAACAGCAGCTGGAGCACCATCAGATGGAACTGGACCGGCTCAGGAACGTGTTCGAGGCGCTATGGGACGAACAGTTGTGCAGAATCCAGATAGAGAGGGAGATATTTCACTCCCAGGTAAGTGCATTCGATTTAAGAAATCTCAGCAAGAACGTATGTTCGTAATTAATGAGTCTCGCGTCTCGTTCAGATGAACGATATCGTGTCGCTGAGGAGCCAGGTGAAGCAGCTGCAGACCCTCGCGCAGCAATTGGAACCGTTCATAAAATCGTTCGCCACAGGGGTCAGCGTGGGTGAGATCAGCATGGCAGCCTCGGACATGACCAGCAATCAGCAGCTGCAGGCGTTGCTCGACCACTTGGCACGTTTACAGATGCAGGAACCACCGCAGCAACCGCAGACCCAAGCCCCGACCAAGGACCATCGGCATCCGCGAACATCCACCAGCGCAGATAATGCGCTCTACATGAAAGGTACGTACTCTTGGAATAATTATTTACCTCGGCACGTTTCGATAGACCGGTTCCATTAACGAGTTTTCGTTGAACGTCGTCGTTTCGATCGTTTTTCTACAAACATGAATGAACTGCGAACCTGCGGTACGACGTGTGGGAGGGAGGGAAGGGAAACGCGAGGTTTCATTTAAAAATTGATTGATCAGAAACGAAGGACATCCCGACGCGATGTCGCACTCCTTCGGGTCCCGCCGGTGTCGAGGCTGTTCTGGACTCCAGCGGAAACATCGTGGTGTACGGCACGGCGAAAGATCAGAAGCGAGGCATGCTCAGTCAGTTGATAGAGAAAGCGAGGAGCAAGGAGGACAGGAAGAAATCGCCGGGGAGAGAGGAGAGCCGAGATCGTAGCCAGACTCGGCGAACCAGGAAATCGCCGGACGGCACGAAACCGAAGACGCCTCTTGGCCACTCGTCAGCGAGCAAAGTCAGGTCGCTGTATCGGTCGTTGAAGGGTGGCAGCGGCGACACTTCTGCCGAGGGTCTCGATCAACCGGAGAGGTGTACGGATTCCCAGCAACCTCAGTCGCACTCGACTGGTAAGAGCAAATCCGTCAGGATCGTAAACAAAAAATAGGTGCTGTGATAATGTATGAAGTATCCGCCCAGTGATCACGATTTATTTAAAGAGATGTTCGCGAAGCGTGTTCCCTGTTTATTCGATCTTCCTCTTCGAACGGTGGGCGAATACTTCGGTGCGCCTTCTCTTCCTATTTCCGTAGATCTGTAACTCATTTACGATCGGCAACTCCGATTTCAATACTCATCGAACGATGTGTAAAACTGCGTTATACGTAAGAGGAGAGCGGATACTTTTGTGAGTAACTGTACATACGTGTGAGTTTGATATAATTGTAGATAACATTTATATATATACACATATATAAAATTGTAAATAAAACCCTGATTGACGCAGACGAGAGTTATTGCAGTGCCCGATTCGGGATCGATCATCTCTCGTTGAAAGTCGCGGCGACTAATTAATTAGGGTCGCGAGCCGATCGACCGAGAGGCTCGCGTCGACGCAAGAATTACGAACAATGCCTAACGCCCCTGTTCGTCGTAATTGTAATTAGCACGTCGCTCGGATCGCGCGTTTGATCGTTCACAAACATTTTAAACACGCCCTGTTTCATTCTCACGTTCATTTGAAATCACGAAACTCTGCTCTCATTCTCATTGTTCGAACGCATCGTTCACGCGAGTAGAAAGAGACGCTTTCTCCGTGTGTTGAACTGTAATTCGACGGTGATTCGCAATGGTTTCGACAGGCGAGGAGGGCGAATACCAGCGAATCTCGGAAGCGTCCAGTATGGGAGACGCGAAGAAGCGCGTTCAGGCCCAGGTGCACGCGGTCCCAGACGATCAGCCGATCGCTAAGGGAACCAAAGTGTACCCAGCTAGCGACTCCGAGGACGTGTTCTATGCGGAGGACAAGTCGGACGTGAGGCGACGTCGTCGGGCCAGCTGCGACAGTCTCAGCACGACCGGCTCCGGCAGCAGGCGCTCGTCGATCGCCGATGGGACGGTAGGTCAATCCGCGCAGGATCACAGGAAAAGGATGGTTCTGTTGATAGAGCCTACACCGAAGTCGTCTCTGGTGCAGAAGCAGCGTTCCTGGGAAACGTTCCCGAGGCCGAAGAGCAAGCGAAGCGTCGCGTCCACCGAGGGCGCATCGTCCCTCAGTCAGCTGAAGAAGACGGACAGCTTCGAGGGACACGAGGAGACGGTCAGGACTCTGGTGGCTGCCGTTCAGGAGACTAAGTCGCATCTCCACCATCATCACGCTCATCATCACCGCCATCATAGGAAGAGCAAGACTAATTAAGATTAACTAGGATTTACGGGACCGCTCGACGGTCCGAGACGTCCGATTTATATTATTTGTCTGTACGTTCATTTTCTTCGGTATTTTCCTTTTTAAACCGGTGATCTCGGACTCGTGAACGAGAAAGGAGATGCCATCCTCCTTGGCAAAGGGTTTCAAAGAGCTTATACAGCAGGAGATGGTCAAAGTGCAGGCGTAGATATTTAAAAAAAAAGTCTCGAATTAATTAGGGACAGAGTGGTATCCGAGCCGAATAGTCAAATCGCGGAAGTAGATAATAAAACGTAGACAGGAGAGGACGGAGTAAGAGAAGTATTTAATACGAATTAATGATAGTACTTTTTGGCCGCGTTTGTCTATCCGGAAGGGAAGTCGATACCCTCCTCCAATGTCTGACATACATCGGGGAAAGTATTTATCGGGAATCTCGGTAATTTTTCGATCAAGATAGTTGTTATAGTTGACCAGGGATATACATAAGTAGTATATATTACGCGAAATGATACTACGTGGACTTTTTTCCCCGAGCGAATTTCGAGCGTTTTATTACAAGCGTTTACCGAATAAAAAGGGCATTTCGTGTGATGTACATACGAGAGACGACGATACCAAAACTGCCACTTTGACAAAGACACACGGGACACCTTCGACACGAGTGCGCGCGTTCATTTCAATTATCGTTTCTCCAATTTCCTTCGGTACGGACCAACTCTTATTCCTTGAAAAGCGACGGATCGAACTACCGGTTTTTTTACTCCCAATGTATGTCCAGCCGGGGATAAAAGTTGTGTCAGGGTCGACCGCAGCCTTCAACCTAGAGCAATTCTCAATTTTTTATCCGAATCAGCGTTTTGATTGCACTTTGAACTGCCGAAGGTTACGAAATATTGCTGCCAATAGTGAAGTAATACGTAAAGAAAAAAATATACATATTATTATATATATAAACGTACGTATATGCATACATAAAAGACGAGAGAGATTTGTTGGTGGAGTCCCCGAATAGACATCTCCATGGCCCAAATTAGAATTATCAATTATGTATGGATATATACATTAAGAGTTTCATCGATGCCGAGAAAACGAGGCGAATGAAGGAAAGGAATTTCCGATGCTCTGCTCAAAGCCGCGCGTCTTCTTTACGACTTAGCTGTTGGGAGGGGAAAACGAATTTCGCGAGAGGGAAAATTAGAATTTATATAAAACGAATCCAAGTAATTTATACGACGCGAACGTCTACGATGATTCGTCGGTAAGTCGATGATTGGACTTTGTCCGTCGACGAGAAAGAGATCTAGCCTAATTATATTATTGTAATCGGTACGAGGATTCATCGTGAGGGTGTAATCGGGATAAATGTTTTTATCAAATGTTTAATGTGAAAAAGTATACGGCTTTTACCACAGGAAGAAGGTTCGTAACGGGGTTGAACACGAGAACGGGAGAACGTTACAATTATAGCGAATCATGTATGATCATTAATCATGTATGAGAAATGTCGAATTGCTGATAATAGAGAAATATACAAGTTATAAAATACTCTACCCATCGGAATGAATCATTCTTTCCGTTCAGTTGTTTTATTAAAATGACAGTATATTTACAATTCATTTGGACGAGTACTTTTGTTTCATTTTAAACATTGCTCAAGGTCGTTGTAAGACTCGAATGAAAGTGACATTTTCAACTCTATCTTTTCGACTATGTACAACGGTTTGTACACTTGTATTGAAACCTCTAAGGGGCAGAACTGTCTATTTACAAGTCCGGTGAACAGTAAAAAATTGTGGATGAATTAATTTACAATAATGCGTTGCATTCATGATTACTTTATTATACTTTCCTCCATCTTTTTTGTTTCCTCGGTATCACATTCATTCGTTATCAGTTCCTCGTCTATAACTTCCGAGTCTTTTAACACTTCGTCTTCTTTCCTCGCGCTTTGTTCGATGGTATGGTCACTTTTTTTGTCGCTCACGTTAATTTTCTGCGACACGTACACGTTTCGTTCCCGCGTAGTTTGCTGTACGTCGATTAATTTCATGATGGTGTCCCTTTCTTGCGATTCCAATAGCACGTGCAGAGCGTTCCGGAACTGATCGATTATGCGCGATAATTCGAGAACGGTAACGTTCTTACTAACGTTCAACGTTAGATCGAAGGGATTGTAAATGTAGAGCGGCGAGTTATCTCTCTTCTGCTTCAGCCTCGCCTCTCGTACGCAGATCGCTTGCCTCTTGAAGTCGAAAATACTGTAGTACTCGAAGAAACCGTACAGTAGGTTGTACAGATTCTCATTGTTCTTATGCTTCATAGTTTCTTTCCACTTGAGTTGCCACGGTACAGCGTTGATTAACGTCTTATTATTCTTATGTTGCAAGTCTGTAAATCGGTATACAACGACCGTTATTATCAAATCTAGTTTTATTATTACGCATGAAAACGTGTCCCTATCGATGCGTACCAACGTAATACTTCATCCCAGTCAAGGAGGGCAATATGCTTCTCGTTTGCAAGTAGAATATTACTAACAACGTGAGAGAGAAATTAGTTATCCAGTGGCCAGGGTTCTCCTTCGTCAGAGTAGCGTTCCTTGCCCATTTGCGTATGGTACAAACGAGCGGTTTCACCCGCCAGTCCAGTTCGGCGTACAGGTACAGCAATTCGGACATGTGTAACGCGATCCTGTAAAAATAATTTCTAGTTTAAGCCGACGGCTTTAAGGGTTTAGACTCGTTTACATACATGTTTGTACTGCTCAAGTCGCACTGCATGTTCGTGAATATGTTATAAAACTTAATAATAGGCACTCTAGCTTCCAAAATCTTTTTAATACCGGCGATACCGGGGATGCACATCTTCATTAACGTGGCCACCGCTTCTAGAAATTCCTTTTGGTCGGTTCTCTCCGTAACGAACATAGGAGGCGCCAGATATAGAAATTTTCTACTCATCTGAAAGCAAGAGTCTATCAAGCCTAGTTTTTGCAAGGGGTACGAACATCGTACAGATCGTATGTTCAACCGATTATACAGTGACGTGCTTACATCTTCCGGGTTTTTCACATGGTTGAAACTGTTGACTTTGCACAGTAAGTCTAGATCGCATCCCATTTGGCCGAACCCATTAACGGAGGATCCGAACGGTATCACGGATAAATTCGAAAATAGTCTAGACAGGAAATAGGACATCTGGTCGGCGGTATAAAATCTTAATCTTACGTTTAAATCCGTGAATTTCAATAACGAATAAAGCGACATCATTTGATCTGACACCTGAAACGTGAATAATTTTTCTCATTGCTTTGTAAACGTCTTAACGTGTAGACTTGGTACTTTACAGATTCTTTTTGCTGTAATGTTTCTCTGATTTCTTTCGATGATGGAACTTTGAACCTGGAGTATGGGCAGCTTTGCGACAGACTATGCGACTTTCTCTTATCGACATGAGAAGTTTCTCTTAACGAGTAAAAAAATATCGGTGTCACTAAGCGTATGCAGTCTTCTAGAGGCTTGTATTTTGCTATTTCTCTCAAAAGCTCCACTTGTTTCTTCGATTCCAATTCCATTAACACGAAATTCTGCGAAACAATATCATATTCACATTGCTGTGTCAGAATTGGTTTTCATTGATGCAAATCTTATACCTACTTGATCGTTCATCGTGGTATATGGTAATATCTTCACGATCTTTGTATAACGCTGACAAAACTTTTCAAGTTCCCTCACACATTCGGAGGAATGTATTCTAACTAGTACACTTCTCCCTGCTTGCTCTTGCCTGAACGTAATCATCTGTTCAAAAGTTTTATACTCCTGATGTTTTGTCTCATCTAACAAAATAATTAAATAATATATGTTTTAGTCTATATGTTTAATCATTTTCAGAACAAATTGCATTCAAGCCAGTTAACCCTAAAACACTGTCATTTGATTATATACGTTGTATCAAGTTATTGGCGATGGCACACATGAACATCGTCATCCACATATTAATTATGCTACGAAATAATTAGCGGCAGTACTTTTACTGTAAAATAAGTATAATAGAAAAAGAACGAGCAGAAAACAGAATCAGTTTAGGTTAAAGCGAAGTATGTGCAGTGTTCGAAATGATATCGTAAGAGTACCTACCTTGAGACTTTGCATATATTTTTAAATTCTGTTGTGTTTTGAACCTCCTTACATTTACTGCGTATTTAGAGTAAAACGTGCTTAATAATGAACTATAATTTGTATTAACACGATGTACAAGCGCCATTTTTAAATGAAGTCTTACCGCTTCGAGCTCCGAACACGTGGTGTTCGCAATATATCTATACATCAGACGCAGCAGAATCATTCGTCGAACGTAATTGATTTATAATTCTTTATTTTATTCTGGTACATTAAGTATACTGCTCAGAAGGGTTCAGATATCTTTACGAAATTTAAAACTCTTCGACGGGCACTTCCTGAATATCAAGTTCCATTCAATTTCAGTTAGAGGAAACGGATAAGTTATAGCAATTCTATTTAGCTTTACAAATTTTTATGTAGCATACTTACTTGATCTTTTAATTATAGCGACGAAGCGGGTTTAGGTACCACTATCAAATTTAAGGAAAAATTTAAAGGAGCCTTTCTAAACATATTTCTCAAGTTTCATTTAACGTATTACACAAACTACACTTAGTTTATAAGTTTCATTATTCCTAAGAATTAACTCTTCCTTGTACATTATTGTATATTCTTTAGTTCTTAAGTTTAATAAATATAAAAGTCATTTAAGGAGAATTACGATGTCTTGTTACTTACCTTTAACACTGACCATATCCAATCCATTTTCCATGTCATTGTCATTTAGTATAATTAGAAATAAGATAAAATAAAAATTGTTGCCGTCGTGCAAATCGTCGTGCAAATCGTCGCGAAATTCTTGAAAACGATGTTGTTAGCAGGAGTTAGTGCCACCTCTTATGTCCTCATGTTCTCCTAATACAAAGTCCGATTTTTCGAAAAATGCTCTGTCTGAGAATTTTTGGAAATGATGTCATCAACAGGAGTTAGTGCTATCTCCTACGATGTCATGTTCTCCTAATACAAAGCCGATTTCCAAGGAAAATTTTCACTTTGTATTAGGAGAACATGACGGCATAGGAGGTGGCACTAACTCCTACTGATGACGTCATTTCCAAGAATTCTCGGATAGAAAAATTTCGATTTTAGCTGTGTATCAGGAGAGAACATGATATCGTAAGAAGCGACAGTAACTCCTGATAATGACGTCCAAGAATTCAACTTACAAATAATTTAATTCAAGTCTGTCTATTTTTTCGAACCTGTCGTTCCGGAACTATGTTCTTCCACGATAGTTCTCGTTAAGGATATGGACTTGGTAATTCTAGCATTGTAAAATAGGTCGTTAAATAAATGAAGAGATGTACATTTTGAAACAATTTATTTAAACTTTCATACAAGTCAAAAGATACATATGAAATTGTACAGAAAGAGTTTCACTTAAAGCTAATTCATGTACAATAAGTAAAATATTACGAACTAGCAATACAAACTACTTACAATGAATCTTATAGATAAAACATTTGTAACTCGTGATATGAGGACTTTAGACAACGTACGATGAACCAATATGTCTTTTACTGTAGCAGCACGGTTATTTTATTAATCACAACCGGTTATCCTCTTGCGTCTACGCTAGTAGAAAATCTGCACACAAAATAAAATATATTGTTAATAATCTAACTCGAATAAGAGTCGAGAAACGAAAGACAGTATCAAGGATATCAGCCCTTAGGCAGTGGGTACAAGAATAACTGAAGACAGCTTCGATCCGTTTTAATATACTGAATTTAGAAATCCTGCATACGCTTAACATGCGCTAAAAGCGTTCTGAAATAGCATATTCTTGAACGAATCTCTGGAAATGATAGTTTCCCGCATCCCTTGAGAGAATAGCATTACGGTACACAGTATCTATCCCGGGCGATGATGTAAGCCTACCTTATCCTTTTTCTCTCGATATCCGCGGGCGTTTTCTTTCCTCCGCCTTTCATTCGTGCTACCCTTCTTTCACGAATACATCCAAATGACTCCAACACGAATAATTTGCAAAAAAAATCTGATCTCCATATCTGACCCGAAAATCATATCAAAATGATATAAAATCGATCCTACTACTAATTATAAGTACTTACTAAGTACTTACAAAACTGTAAAAGAACCAAGGTAAAGAGAATGAGTGGAAAGATATGAAACATCTATTTCTGATCATCAATCATCTACGATCCAAAAAATAAAGGTACACCTGTGCCGCTCCCTACCGGTAGATCATACAATTATTCTATAGATCATTAAGATCCACTTGGTATTTAGATTAAAGTTTTAAATTAATTTAAACCTCAGCCCGAATGAACCAGAGAACCAGCACAGAATCATTCCTAATTCACTCGGAACGCGATTTTCACATTGACTTTTTATGTTTCCACGAACGAGACCCGTCTTCTCCGTTCCTCTCTGCTCGGCACGACTCTCCTCGTCCCTCCCGGTTGTCCCTCTCTCTCACCTGGTGGACGTTGGTTCCCCAACGTTTGTTCACGAGGAGAACGCGGAGGGACCGTGAACAGAAACACGAAGAGCCAGTGCAGTGCAGTCTCGAGCCTCGCGTCGATCGCAACGAGTTCCACACTCGGTCCCGCGGCTCGTTCCATGCTCGACTGCCTTTTTTTAACGGGCCGACGAACGAAAGATCAAGCCAGGTGTGCGGTGCCAGTGCGAAAACGAATAACGAAACGCTCGAACGACCTATGGTAACGTTCCGAGCAGACTCATTTAACGAAACCAAATCGTGGAATCAAAAAACGAACGGGGGGGCTCACGATCTCGAGAATCGAATTTAACACGTAAAAGAGAGATACAAATGTATCCGTCGAACGCGAAGTGGAAACCGAAGATATTTGAATGGTAGAACACCTCGATTTTATTTAATGAAACGGTATGTTCCCTGAATTGCAGAGGGAAGTGATTCGATGAAGAACCTCTGAGTAAATGAACGTGGAGAACGTGAACGAGGATTTGGGGATGTCGACGTGCGCGAGATGGACCCTATGGCCGGCGAGAACGCGTTTCCGACAACAATATTCAAAGATCATCGTGTACCACCGGAAGTGCTGATGATGAACGAGCCGGATCCATGAGGGAGATCGAACTGCTGATTTCTACGGTGCTGCTCGATAAGTGATCGTTGACTATTCCTATACTCGTTTCGAGAACCGTGAGCTCGAATCGAGGACAGAGTGGTGATTCTTCGTTTGCGAAGATTTGGATATATAATTAAGGGTAACCGGTGGCAGACCAGTGATCTGACAGGTAAGACGTTTTACGAATTAATGACTCGACTCGATTCCGAGAAGACGATCGAACGAAAAATGAATTATAATTACGAGTAAATTTAACGATCGAACAGTAAGATAGAACAGAATGATTGTTAAACGTCTCCTCGCGTTTTAATCGCGTTTGACACCAAGATGGCGCAATATCTTGTTGCGAGGAAAGACCACGTTGGCGGCCGTTCAAGGGCGCAGGACGAGGCGCCGACGGAACGAGTCTACCCGACGAGCCTGATGATACCCACGGGATAATTTTAGGAGAACTGCACCGAACCGGGAATCCGATTGTACGCGAGCATAGTTACGTCACGCGTGCAGATTCGGTCATGTTTTGAGCGGTTCTCCGTCATCGCAAGGTCGTCGAAAGCGAGCACACCGCGAGACCATTTCACAACGTAAACGATTTCGTATCGGTGCTTATAAAACGTCGTACAACTCGTCCTGAATGAAATCTCCGGCACTCGTAATTATTTTTAATTTCGCTAAAATCGCCTTGACAAAATTTCGATCTAATAAATTTGTCTGGCAACACTGAACGTGTCAGTCTATAGAGAATGAGCGTGAGTGGGCGAACATTCGGAACGGTTTCAAGAGGGGTGCACCGCGAATGACAGCTGGTTTCCTTTCCCGAGGAACGGAGGGGCGAAAACGGGCTCAATGGATGTAAACGCCGCTTTTTAATGAAACGCGTTACGCAACGGAAACGCAGCGAAAACGGGCACAAGGCTCGCGTGGCGGACTTGTTCATCGTTCATCCTCTCGTAGGTGGCGACCACGTTGACCAAATATGCTGACGCCAAGGATCCGACACGCTCACGCGACCAAACGAATTCATCCGCCGGTACAGAACTCGTCCGTCGCATCGACGGTCTCTGTATTTGACGCCAATTAAATGCACAGGCAACGTGGTTTTATAAGAAAGCAAAATTTCGTAGACCAATCTTATAGCAAAAGATAAAATATAAACAGCTTTCATAGAAAAGCTCAGAGTAAAATCTTGTAGGCAAATCATACAGAGAAATCTTATTTGAAAAATTCTCAGTAATATTTTTATTAAAACCATTACGTAGAATGTTGCTCACGAGACTATTGTTTAAATCGGAGTTTCGTAACGCGCGTGTAAGTAACTTACGCGTATACGTATCGATGACTACATCCGCCTCGCGGGACAGAAGTCACCGGTGACTTAAACGAGCGGTATGCCGTGACGTGGGCACCGTACGACCGTATTCTTCCTCTTACATGAAACTGATCGATAAAAATTAATTACGAACGTCTCGTACGAGACACGTTCCGTGCATGAAAATCGTAGAGAAACGAATTAGAGGAGCTGATGATAAAAATTGCGACGGAGACGAATTTTGAAAGAAGTTCAGCGAAGACGTCGTGGAAATGGATTTGAGGAAAGTACGGAGTACAGACAAATCGGCGCGTGACAAAGGAGAAAGTGAAAGGCTTGGAAATACGGCCCTGGGTGCCCAAGTGCATCGCACGGGTGGCACGATACTGGTTTCATGCGAGAAAAGGTGGCAGAACCTCGCGGGATGTCGATCGACCAGCCTCGTAAAATCCCGCGGTTCTACATGACAAACGTCGCGATCGAAATTGCGGGGGTGCAGCGAAAACGGCGTACGCGGACGAACGATTAAAGCGATACCAGTGACCGGTGGTGGTCCCAGTGGTTGCCCGAGGTCGTTCCGTGCCGTGCAACAGGCCTCTTACTCGAAAAAGTGAACGTTGCGTTATGCCGCCTTCGCGAAACACCGCGTCGCTTTCTCATGGCTAACTCTGCTACCGAGGGAACGTGGTCCGTGAGTGGAAATCGAACCCTGAACCGTTTGTGTGTCTCTGAGTTCGAGGAGACTGATCGGACGTCATAATGTGCCGAGATGACGACGAAATCCTGATGACCGTGACTGACAGGAACTCGGCACCGTGTCACGTCACCTGAACGGAAATGGGTTCGTGGACATTGGGAAGATGATCGGTGAACCGAAATTCGATCGAAAGCGGAGGAGACGTTTAACGAGATCGAGCGAACGTATGAAAAATAATTGAACAGACGACTTAATAGTTTTTCCGTGTGGATTACGAGTGTTCTCGCGCTAGATAGGTTTGCACGGTCGATCGCACTCATGGGAGTCCGACCCAGTTATTAATAAGACTTTCTCTTTTATTTTAGCCATGGACTGGCCGAGGGTCGTGCTGCCGTTTTTATTGGTAAGTTCATCCGACGACGACGATTCATAAATCAACCCGAACCGACTCCGATCGGACCCGGACTCGTCTCCCCGCCGAATTAACGTACTAACTTTCAAAGCGGCGTATCGACTTTCGATGTCCGACCCGCACGTGCAACAGCTGTTCGGTTTTGATTTCGTTAGATTTCGATACTTTCTCCCGTCGTCGCGTCGTATGAAATAAAAAAAAAAAAGGAAGCGTGTAGGATACGTGTCGGCCAGGAATGCAGCGAATTATGTAATCCCTTTGTTGGCAGAACGTCCCACAAAACCGTCTGCCACGAAAACTATGCAATATTTTCTTACCCGCCACTTTTCATCTCGACGCTGATTTGAAACTCTGACCGAGCGGCGATTCACTCTCGATTAATTTCACCCAGTATACTGGTGTGTGTGCCAGTGATTTAAATTAATATCGCGATCAGTGAAAGTCGATAAACGCTCGGGCAAAATTATTATTGATTGTCAGAACGAAATTCGAGGAGAACCGGCCGACCGTTTTTACGAGCCTGCTGCTCGTCGTTGTCGCTCCAGTAATTTGCTGTCCTCTATTTTCACAGTAATCAGAGATAAACATTGTCATAAAGCAGAGCTTCTTTCGATATAACGATTTAACGTGGTTAACCCGTTCGGAAGGATACAATCCAGGTTCTACGCAACGGTTAATGAACGACAATTACCTCGAGACCCGACGTTTAGACCGATTCGAGCGGTCGCATCAAATAAATTATCATCCTTCCGGTTTCTAAATATCCGAAAGAAGTTGATATGCAAATCGTTCAGAGTGAACGTACACCAGGCGGAGATTAGAGTAAGAAAGCGTTTCAAGAGTATCACAGGAAACACGAATTTCCACGCGGTCACACGTTTTCCAGTGACAGAAATAAAACTGGAACTCGTCTGTCCCGTAAACATTTATAAAAACGAGCAGTAGACGTAAAACAGGTTCCGTTGGAAAAATCAAAGGCGAGCAGTGAAATTTCGATGATCTTCGACACTTGCGTATTTGAAGAAGTGTCCTCGAGAGTGGAAGAGCGTGAAGAGGGCAAAGTCGAAGGGGGATTCTTAACGGTGCTCGCAAATGTTCGATCTCGCGTTTCTGCTCGCGGGAAAGAGAGACAATCCCGGCTTGTGCCACGCCCACTTTTACTCGGGTGTTCTTTTAAATATCGGCGCGGGATCTCGGAGCTCGTTTTCACAGACGTTTCTCTGGCAACTCGGCGGAGGTAGGAGAACCGATACCGGAAGCGAGCCGCTAAACGCTCCCTTACCACCACCGGTTCACACGTCCTAACTAGAAAACGTCGAGCGCGAACTTTCGTCACTCCGAGACAATGCCATCAGCCTCGTGCACGATATATTTTTATAGAAATAGATCGCTGCTGCAATATGTAGAACGAAAGCGATCCGATGGATTTCTCATACCACCGAGGAGAAATTACTAAAGAGTGGCGGGACTTATGGGACGATGTCGCACGAAAAAGTTTGGAATTTTTTACATACTCTCAAATATATTGCCACCGAAGTAAGAAGTAGAAAGCAAAACACTCGACGATGTTCAACAGATCGTATAAGCTACTCGTTAAAGAGTAATTGACGATGAACAAAGTAATTAATCAATTACTCCTGAATCATTCCAGATAGAAGAAAATTGTATACGATCTTTCTTGCAGAAAATAGTTTTGTGAAAAACTCATTTTTCGTTTTTTGTCAATTACTCGTTAGCTATCGACGCTAGCGAAAAAAGTTTCAGATAAAAGTTGCAGCTCCAATCGTCAGCTATAAAGAAGGTCGTATACAATTTCCCCGTAGGTCCAACAGTTTAGGAGTATTTGAGGAAAAACGAAATTTTTTGCCAAAAATCCAGTTTGGACGGTGGGACGGCCGGATTTCATCAGTGCCAATAAAATGCCAATTAATTGCACTTAACTCGTTAAATACTGGAGTTAGAAGAAAAATGCATAGAAGCTTTCTTGTAGAGCACGTCAGGACCTATAACTTCTGTACAAAATTTTTTTTCGCTAGCGTCAATAATTAATTAACAAATAAAATTGTTTATTGCAAAAACTTTTTCTTCCTTCACGCAAAGAATGTTTCATACAAAAGTTGTAGCTCTAGTTGTCAGCTAGCAGAAAGCAGTTAGTTATGAGAAGATAATAAAACGTATTGGACGATTAAGAGGAAAGATCTTCTAGTTATGGTCACGCGCGTGAGTAAACGTTATCACGAGAACGGTCAATAGAAAATCGCGTCGGGCCAAGGAGAAAGTCCGTGTGACGTGACCAAGTTTAGACGGCAAACATTGCGTAAATCATTCTTCGCGTGGGATAAAAATCTGGCGTTTGGGAAAAATGGAATTGTACGTTAAACGGCGCCGTGACGTCATGGAATTACTATAATGATCGCGCCGCGAAGTGACTAATACGAACGTAACCTGGCTCGAAGGCGTTCTCAAGGAGAGTCTGCCTACGCCGCATCCGTGATCCGATTACCCATTGATCCACTGGATAACTCGCTCCGTCGAGCAGCGAAAATATTGGGTCGGCGCCGCGAGGTTACCATTCAGAAACGAGCTCCGCGATACCGTCGCTGATCACCGTGTTTCCAAATAATTGTCTACCATTATTTGTACAAGGGCGAGGGAACAGATGTAGCATCGCGTGTAATAAGAGAGAGGAGTCACGCTGAAATTGTTTCCGCCGATCAAACGCGTTTCCTTCTGCCATGAAAAATGAATAGAACCGACTGGGAAATGAAAAATGAACAGATTCGATGTTCAAACAAGCTAGTCATTATCGTCTCTTCTCATAAATGGAAAGACTATGTTTGCGGAGAACGACTTAACAGCATCCTTCGCGGGTCTCATCCTTGGAAGATAAACACCGTCTGTAGAAAACCAAGTCCCTACATCTTTTCGAAAACTTTGTTTGATATACTTAATTGCTTAATCTTAAAATAACCGAACGTGTGACACTCGTCCAGTCCGTACTGAACGTGTTAAAATACAACGACGGTTTATTAACTTTCTTAGAACGGAACGGCGTAAACGGGCACTGACTCGTTAAACCACTTTCATCGGCGCAGACTAATATACTGGATATACATAGAATATATATCCTTTAACAACGCCAGTGTTTATTAGACAATTTCTCTAATACTGTAGTTTTGCGAGGAACGTGTCTCACTTTCCCGTTCGTGATCGCATCTCGACTCATTACTTTCATTTTTACGGAATCACAAAAAACGATCATCGACTCCTTCCGTTGATAATTAAAATTAATTCAGGCTTGTGAAAAATCTAATAACGGAAACTATCAAATCTTGACTACACGTTTGAGTTTACGACGCGATACGCGAAGAAGACGAAGCAAGGGTGAGACTTGAAATGTTTGAAATGTAATGATAAGTTTGCACGTCGATAATTAAGGATGCTCGTCGCGGAATGAAACCAGTTCATGGTTACGTCTAGGAACGTGTCACGAGGTGATCAGTCCGTGGAGAGTTCGCCGAGCGAGTAAAAAGAGTGAACACGTAACGCCTTGCATCGGCACGAGTGAAACCGATCGGACTCTGGACAATTACGCGTTCACCTAACGCAGTACGATACCTAAACGGAGAATAAAAGTGTGTCGAACCGGTAACAGGCGTCCCCTACCCCTGGCCGATCTCGGAGAACGTCTGTCGCAATTTTGTAATCTCAACGATCATACCGGTTATTACCGTAAATTACATTGATAAAGAGATCGTAAGAAAAAACTACTGTGTATCATTTTTGGATCTATAGTCGGTTCTCTTATCAGAAAATTGAGGGAACGACAACGACGAGTAATTGCGTCTGTCGACCGGTCTGCGTTAATCTCGGAACGTTTTACAAGTTGGACAGGACAATTAACCTTGGAACATGATGCTCATTAACCAATTGTACAAACACAATGATCTAAGATTTATTTACGTCGTCGTAGAATTTCACTAGCGAAATTAATCACAATATAATTTGGTCGATTCAATTTTCAATATTAATATTCATCATCGAATTATACTCGACGTCGGATTCTACGTTCTCGAGGCGAGATAGCCTTGAATTAGAAGTTAATTGATGGGAAAAGATTGGCATTGTGGATCTTCGATTGTCCTCGAAATTGCATTCGTCGACACATTTTCCACGGGTCCTGATAACAATTAAGTTTAATCGATGAGAAGCGGACTCTCGCGTTTCCACGGAGCCGCTGAAATCGCATGATTCATACGCTCCGAGCTATACCGGGAGAGAGTCGAACGAATCACGTTTGGCCTGACATTTTCGCAACGACTAACATCTCCGTTGATGACGCCTGCACTTCAAAAATGCAGTCGTCGATCATTTAGTCATCGCGTGCACGTTTATAAAATTATTTGACATTAAAAATGATTAATCCACTAATCAAATTGATCGTTCTACGAAAGCAACGATCCCACGGCGAACGTTATCGTTTCTAGGGACGATGTAACGAGCGGTTTATCTGTTTCTTTACAGATCACAATAGCGAGGCACAGCAGCACACAGGCGGCCCAAATACCCCAGCAACCTACGTGTGAGTATTTTACAGCTTTCTAGTCGCCGGCGATAACTAATTAGAGCTGCGGGGTCAATTAACCTTTCCGCGGCTGATGGGAGAATCAAAGAAAACTGAATTTTCACCGTGTCGCGTCTCCCCTCTATCAAACGATCAGATTCTAAGAAACCGTGGAAACTTTCTAAGAGATGACAACGATTCGAGGAACAATAACCGAGTCGAATGAGCGACCAATTAGTCTGAACAGGGGAGCGGTCTCGGCTTTGATTGATCGAAACGACGATTAATTAGTCGCGCGTAAACCAACTAATTACAGGGACGTCTTTGATCTCGCATATAGAGTTCGTTAATTGATCGATCTAATTATCGTTCGCGTATGAACGTACGTACTTGAGAAATCGTCCATTGTCGAAAGATTATTTTGATGGAAATTATTTTGGGTGACGATTAAAAGAAAGGGAAAGAGAGAGAGACTTTCCAGACGAGCGACGACCTTCCTTGGAAGACATTGCTTTTGCTTGGAAGGTGAACGAAGCCGTGTCGACCTAGATTCTCATGTGGCGAGTAGGGAAAGACCACGAACATCGGAGAAGGAGGCTGTGAAACGAGATGACGATTATAAACGAGAGACGAGCGCAACACGATTTCCTCCTCGACATCCTCCGCGAATCGAAAGTCCCCCGTGTAACCGGCGGCTACAAACACTTTCAGCGTTCCGCCTTTTACCATAGATTCACGATCGTCAAAATTTCACCGATCATCGCGCTATTGTCGTTTGAAAACGTCTCTTCGACCATCCGCGTTTTTCAAACGATACATCTCGAATTGAACGACGAAAATAATATCGTTTGCCGTTTCACGATTCAACAACCATCTAATAAAACTAGAGGTCAACCAGTTTTGCATAAGAACGATAACTGTTTTGCAATTTCGTTACTCGAATTTTGTAATGGATCTTAAAATTCTGTGTGGTCCGCCGCTACGCTGACTCATACTACTTGCGCCAAACTAGCTGCCATGCGAGGATAAGATCGATTTCTCTGATCACGAGCCTCTGAACGAGACAAATGATTCCTTTCGTTTGCTGCACGCGTCCATTTCTCATCAGCCGTAAACATTATAATTTCTTCAAACGCGAGCTTTTACTTTTTCACGTTCTCGGTGTTCCGCACTGAAAACCCCGCGACGCGCGGTTATTAATTTGTCCCGCGTTTCGGTTTTCGCCGAAGGATAAAGAAACGATCTCTCGAGTCACTTTTATGAGACATAATTCCGCGAGGAATTGTCTTTGAGAAATTGAGAAATCTGATTTTTATAAGTCATTATGCAGGACTAACAGATCAATTTCAATGACTAACCGAATATCCTCAATTTTATAAAAAGATTTATTTTACGTAATTGCTCCACAATTATCCTAATAGAATTTCTAAAGAGAATTTGGTACAGGCAATTTCTTTGTGATATTTTGAAACGTTAATTGATAGAAGAAAAGCTGTACGAACGATTTCTGTAAAACTTTCCTTTACTTTTTGCCGCGTTCCATGGGAACTGGAATACCTTTTGCACGTTCACTTTTCGTTTGCCCCTATCGCCTGTCCAAGGTAAACCATCAAGGCCGTTTCCATTCGCACGCAGCTAAAATCGCGACTTTCATAAAACCGAGCACAATAACTGAGACGGAACAATCAAGGAGCCAAGTTCATCGTAGCATCTTAATTCAAAGTAGATTAATTAAAGCGAAGCGAAGCTCACCGGAGTGTTACCATTTTAACGAGCGCTGTAACGTCTCTGAACGAGTAAAAAGTTCAATCAATTATGCGACTCTCGCATCGATTAATAGATGTTCAAGTTCATCATTCACGTTGCCATGTTCATAAGTGCGTAATCGATACCAGATTATCCTCCATCGTCCATCGAATAAAGTCTACATATAAAACGAACCTGGCCATTTCTTACAGAATCTCTCAAGTACATTTATCTTCCGTCTCGAGCAAAATATATCCGTCATTAAGTTAAACGATCATACGTTCTTATCAACGTCATTGCCGTACCGTGATCATTTTCGATTCACCGACTTTAGTTAATTGCCTGCGAGTCAATTCCATTTCCAAGAATTCTGTCTGAAGGTTTTGTTCGCCTATGATTCCAATTTATTGGACTGCAATCTTTTATGCGGCATAGAGCTTTCAGATTAAACCCGGATTCTCGATATTTTTATGTGCGCTCTCGAATATGAGATCCTTAGTCTGGCGATTGGCAATGAACAGGCTGGCTTTGAAACGATCGAATTAAAATTCAAGAGCGAAGTTCAAGCATCGGACCTTGCGAAAGGACGTGGAACACCGTTATTGGCGACCCAGGGTGCGCGAAACGTCCGTATATCTGGCTGTTGTAATAACAGACGGCCGCGCGATAACTGTATAGGCCGCGAATCCATAATTATCCTGCTCGAGCACCGCGGATCGCAAATAGGTAACACAGGGTGGGGACGTATAAATGATCCTGGCTAATAACGATCGCAGGATTATTAAGCGGTCAATGACGCTTCCTTCCTACCAGAGGGGGTTCCGTTACGCGAATCTATTCTCGCGTAACGAGATCCACCAATGTTTTTCGATGATACCGAGACGAACGAGTTTGGATAAAACTGTTTTATTAAAACTGCATTCCTGAGTGCTGACTCATTCGTCTATTCTTAAGGATGTATAGGCTATACACTTAAACAATGCTAGCATGTTGAATTTGTTATTATAGATTCCTATTACTATCAAAAAGCTACCTGCAAAATTTTAAATCAATCCATGGATTTTTTGAAAAATTATAGTGACTTAAAATTTGCATGTACTCTTATGGTAATCACCAGTAACCCGAAAAAAACTTTCTGGTATTTGGTGTGCATGCGCGAAGTTGGAAGAAACAACTGACTTGAGGAACTAAAAAGTATGGAATTTTTGACGTCTTTTAGAATATGTTTCGATATTTTGAAAAAAAAATTTTTCCGAGATTTTCCAAGGGGTAAATTTTTTTAAACTATGTTCACGGAAACCCTATATTTTCTTTACGGAAAATAAAAATTCAAAACTTTAACTATTGTATAGTTCAACTTGTATTAAAATCGTATATATTTTGCAAATGCTATCGAGCTACCTTAAATCTATACAAGGCGAGGCATTTTGCGTACCAGGCGTTTCTTGTATATCATCATCATCCTTCGGATTTTTAACAGAAAATCGCTGAATAATTTGGAAAGAAAAAGTTGAAAAAGCGGGACGAATGAGCAAGAAGGTTGTTCGCGGTGCAAGCTTCCTAAGATGGGACGCAATGGATCGTAACGATCGCGTGCATCAGCATGGATCCTTCGGAGGCTCCATCGATCACGCGGCCGATCGCACGGAAGATCGCTTCCTAAGTGATTCATTGTTTTCCACCGGGTTTACTCGTGACTTATATCGGTGCCTTACACTCGTACGGACAAATAATGCGTTTCGCGATGGGAGCTCGAATCCAGCTGCGCCGTCATCTTGCATCGTCATTACACAGAATTTCCGGGACGCGAACACCCTTCGCATTCCACTTTACGTCTCGGACGTACCTATTTAGTTTGTCTCTCCATCTGATTGCCGAGCAAAGTACAACTGGTTTCATCAAAGTGGTTTAAAAATTTTCTACTTCTGATTTTTACATCACTTTTAGAATCGTTCGGTCGTATTCACATGTACTAATTGGAAGCAGGAACGAATGGAAGAGAAAAAAGCAACGAATCTTGATGAGGAAGTTATTAAAACTGTCCAAGCAAGTGTAACACGGAAGGCAGAGGGAAGAAGTAGAAAAACCGCAAGAAACTCGATGGTCCCATTGCGAATATACCGTTCCCTGCGAGGTGGCCGAACATTGATAACGGTATAAACACACAGCTCGCATGGCGAATTCGTTTCATCGTTGAAACTACGAATCAATTTGGCTACGGCGCGTACGTGGCCCGTTAGTCTGCACGCGTGCTCGGCCACCGTTCTCTACCCGTTAACTGAAATTTCTTTCCCGGATCGTGGAAAACCGGCGCGAGTCAATTAAACTGCTAACTAAATGCACGAACGACAGCTGTGAAATCATGGACAAATTCTATTACACCGGTAGCTGATGGAAATTGCCTTCTTGGCTTGACTCGCGTCGTTCATTTGCAAACTCGACCCGCGTGAATCCTCAATTAAAATTTAAACAGTATTTCATAATGACATTAAGATGAATTGAGGTATTTGTTAAAACAAGAATCTGTTATGTGAATTCAGTACAGAGGATTTTCACAAAAATAATTAATCGTTCTGTGCGACCATATTCTTATTGATTCTACGTAAAGAACGTCGGCATACGGCATGAAAGAGATCCTCGTCCAAGGATAGACTTAACAAGCAGTTAAACCTGAGGGAGTAGCGTTTCCTTGAAACAAGATATTCTTAGGAAGCGCGCAAGATCCAGCGAAGCGACAGATCACCCAGCCTGAGCGCTTCCTCAGATTAATTAACGGCGTCGTCATTACTATTTCTAGCGTGGGTGGATCTCGAGGATGTCTCAAGGATTCTCTCGCTTCGACGATTTTCACAGGAAGGATTTCTTTTGTTATGCGCGAGGCTCGTTTGCATAATTCAACGATGATCGATGGATCTTAATGCAAAATAAATTGTTCAAGAAGATGGAAACTGGATAAGTACGTCTTTGAAGGACATTCATTTTTATTTACTTGCTGCGAGCTATTAATCGATACCTTAATAAGGATTGTCATTAATGAAACGTCAAAGGATAATGGCGAAGCGAGGCGGCGATCGAAGCGGTGTTTTGCCGTTTTATTACTTAATGCTATCGAATATTACATGGAAGTGGAAAAGGAGAAGCTAATCTTCCCTAGATATGAGCTACAATCAGAAGAACCGCAAGAGGAGCCAAAGGTCGTCGAAGAGTAATGTGCGAATTATGTTACCTCCGATTCCCGGCCCTCTGACCGAACACTATCTACCATTATCTGT